TAGGACATGCTTCCGGTGTGTCGTAGCAACCGAGGGTCAAGGCGTCTTACAGCCGCGTGCGGGTGCGAGGGTCTGGTGGCGGGCCCGAACGGCAGCCGCAGCAGCAGCCCTGCTGTCTGCCCAGCTGCACCTATCATCATGCTGCCATTGTCCCTCACACCCACCCTGCCCCGCCTTCTCCCCCCCTCCCCCGCAGCTGGTGGATGTGAAGGTGCGGGAGCTGCTCGGCTCGTGCATGTGAGACGCGCAGGGAGGGGATGCAAGAGGGGGCTTCGGACGGTGGATTGCAGCTAACATGTCTCCCGGCCGGAGTTTGGGGCATGATGGGGCTTGCTGCTTGGTGCACGGCTTGCTACAAGGGCTGGCGGGAGTAGTGTTTAGCCACCCTCATGCGGCAGCGGGTAAATAAGGCCCGTCATGCTTGCCGCCCCGTCAGGTTCCCCGCCAACGAACTCCCCATTGTGCGCGGCTCTGCCCTCTGCGCCCTGAACGGCGAGAAGTCGGACACCGTGGGCAAGAGCTCCATCCTGGAGCTCGTGCAGGTGGGGACGGGCGGGGGAGCCCTGGGGTTTTGCGGGGGGTGTTCCCTAGGGCTCCTGCAAACCCGTTAGGCATGGCTAGGTCGCCGTGGGGCAGGGCTAGTCTTGCGTGGGTTTTGTAGGGTTTGGATCCTCCAGTCCGTACGTGGCTCTGCACCGGTGGGGTGAGCCACCCTCGGTGTTGTTGTTGTTGCGTGGGGCACCTCTGCCTGGAGCAGAGCATGCGACGGTGACAGCGGGGAAGCAGCAGGTCAGCGGCAGACGCGTACATGTGCTGGCTGCTGACATGCCGCCATCATGCCCCCCCCCGTTGCATGATCGCAGGCGTTGGTTGAGTACGTGCACGAGCCTGAGCGCCCCACCCTCCTGCCCTTCCTGATGCCCATTGAGGATGTCTACTCCATTGCCGGCCGCGGCACCGTCGTTATTGGCCGCATCAAGCGGGGTGGGTGGCTAGCGGCGCGGAAGAGGAAGGCAGAGAGAGTGTTCTGCCTTCCTCTGGTGTGCCGTGTGGTTAGTTGACAGATGCCGAGGATGCGGCTCGAACTGGAATGGCTAGCTGGGTGCTTAGCCTACAGCGACCTTGCACATTGCCGGAAGCGTTTCCATGCCTGCCGGATGCTTCTGCTTAGTTAGCCCTGGAGCCTCTGGGTAAGCATTTCGCTCGACACCTTGCACGTTTTCGTCCCCAGGTGTGGTGAAGCCCGGTGATGAAGTGGAGATCATTGGCCTGAGGGACACCATCAAGAGCACCGTCACCAGTGTTGAGATGTTCAAGCAGAGCCTAAGCGAGGTGTGCAGGAGCGACTGCACAAATTGGAGCATGCGTTCGCTGAAGAGGCCAGCGAAGAGGTCGATGCATGCATGGCGGGGGTTTGCTTTGTTGGGTGCTGCCCTGCGACCCTGCTGTTGCCAGCTGGCCTGATTAGTCCGCGTCCCACTGTCCGCTGGGCTCTCCATGCTGACACGGCCCTTGTCCGCTCACGCGGTCACGCTGCCCTGCCCTGTGTCCTTCCCCTCTTGTAGGGCCAGGCGGGTGACTACGTGGGTCTGCTGATCGATGGCGTTAAGCGTGAGGACGTGTCGCGAGGACAAGCGGTGTGCAAGGCGGGCAGCATGCAGCCCTTCAAGGTGAGGCGGATGGGGTTTGACGTTGTGGTGCGCGCTGGTCTTTATTGGCTGACGGCGCGGATGACGCATACATAGGGGAATCCAATGCGTTCAAAGGGTGCCTTGGGACTTGCGTAAGCCCCATCAGGTGTCGGGAGGAAGATTGCCCGCAAGGTTGTACAGCAAGTCTGAGTACGAACCGTGGCACTCCCAATTACCGTTGTGTTATAAATCCGCCCACGTGAGATCTGTGGCCAGCGCAACCACACGTGCTAAAATACGCCTGCTGCAGCAATTCGATGGGGAGTTCTACGCGCTGTCCAAGGAGGAGGGCGGCCGCCACAGGCCCTTCACCAGGAAGTACAAGCCGCAGTTCTTCATCGGCACCGCTGGCGTCTCGGGTGGGTGGCCTTGACAGCACACCCGGAGCAGTCCCCTGCGGCGGCCGGAAGTTCCGGAAGACCTTGGACCTCCGGAAGGACCCTGCACTGTCCTGTCCACACCCCCACATGGAGCTGTTACCGGCCTCGGGGAAGCCTATAGTCCTAAGTGCACGCTGACGCTGCCCGTCATGACCCGCTCATCATCGCGCACTACTTACTACGTCCTGTTGGGGACATTTTTCGAAGCTCACCAGGCACCTCATGTCGCGCCCTGTGACTCCCCGACCCTGCAGGCCGTATCGTCCTGCCCGATGGTATTGAAATGGTGATGCCCGGCGACAACTTCACTGCCAGGGTCGAGCTGCGGGTGCCCGTGGCCATGCAGGTGGGAGTGCTGGGAGGGATGAGGGTTAAAGGGCGCCGCTTTGTCGTGGGGTGCCGGGTTCTGGTGGTTTGGCTGGTCGGGTGGAAAGCACAGAAACGAGATGAAGTTGCACTGCGGGGCAGTGTTAATGCACGCATTGTAGGCAGACCCGGACCCGTCGGCAAATGCGGACTTGGTGAACCCTTTTATCTCTGCTTTTGACATGATCTGACCAATCCGTGGGACCCAAATGTGTTGCAGGAGAACATGTACGTCGCCGTCCGCGACTCAGACAAGACGGTAGCCGTGGGCGTGATCAACAAGGTGCACGCATGAAGAAGCGTGCTGAAAAACGAAGCTGGGCAAGGTTAGGAGTAGCGGCTCGGACGCATGGACGAGTTGTCGAGGCCAATGAATGGTGGCAAGTAGTGCGATATTAGTGGATCTGCCGTGTAACGGTGCATACGGTTGCCTCATTGAGATGGCATCGATGACGAGGATTGAGTAAACCTTTGGCGGAGTGCGGGTGGCTGCAGGCAAGAACAAGTATACCGAAATGAAGGACAGCGTCAAGGAGGACCTCCCGTAGCAGTGATTTTTTTACCTGTTTGTTCCAGCTATTGTAACACTTAACTGGCAGCGCCATATCTGCGTCTGCAAGACTAATGCTGACTAACACAGTCAATCTTCAGTTTCCCTGGCATGCATGCATGCATGCACTTTCCTCTTTTGCTTTCTTACACCACACATTACCTACACAGGGGCTCTGCCAATCCTATGCAGCTTCCCATAAAGCTGCACACGAAGCCGTCCCAGTGCGCAAGGCGCACTGCTCACTCAGCTTTGCGAAATCAGAGCCACCCCCACACAGTCAGGTTAAGCGTCATGTGCAAAACCTGCATGACATGCCAGAGGGTTCTTCTACTACCGGTAAATTAAATGAAATGGGATCCGCGTCATTGCATCAGCCATTGCGTGCAACGCCCATACCCCCCCAGAGGACAACCTAGCACAGGAAAGCAAACCTCACTTTCACCTCTTGTCTCGACGCAAATGTGTATTTTTGAAGTGCGCCGCGCACCACACCTCTGCGTCGACCGCACATCCTGATATCTGACAGCGCTGCAGCAACCGTGAAGCACTACTTCATCAACATGACACGATCCCCGACAAGAACTTTGACACTTCCAGCACTACTAGAGCCACGTCAGCGTCCCAGTCAACTTTCCGTTGCGCAAGTACGGCACCCAGCCGGCTAACAACTGCGAACCACCGCTGCTGCCTGTCGAGCCAGTAGCAGCAGCAGCAGTCGCCGCCGCCGCCACTGCCGCCGCCACCGCTGCTGTAACGCTGCTGCTGCTACCGGCTTGGGTGGCGCCACAGCTCCCGCCAGCCGTCACCGCCGCCGCTGCTGCTGCAGCTCTCCCATCCGCTGCCGATGTTCCCGTCCCGGTCCCCGCCGGCGGCGTTGTCGTGGCCAGTGGTAATGCACTGTGGAACCCCAGGCCCTTCCCAACCTGCACATTATCCTTGTGCGAGAAGGTATACCTGTGCGCTTCCTCACGGCTGCCGTCTTCACGCCACCGATGTACGACAAGCCGAGCTGCCGTATGCGTAACGCCTACCAGTGCTCCAGGGTTGGGCACGCGCAGCGCCGACGGTACGGCACAGTTTAAGTACACACCCACAGCTGGAGCGCCCTTCCGTACATGCAACGCAGGGTACCACTCGAACCCTTGCGACACAAGCCGTGTCGCACCGTTGGTAAACGTGCCGTACACCCAGACCTCCGCCTCACGAGAAACCAACTTCGCCGCCAACTCCTCCTGCCGTACAAACCACTCGTACGGGCGTCCCGCGTCGCACCGCGAATGAGGCCGTTGCGTCGTGCCGTACCATGGCGACGCACAGTCGTACCGTCCGGCTGCCGCCGCTGCCAGACTCGCCCGCCGACTGGGTTGCTCAGCCGCATACTGACACAGGAACACATGCTCCTCCCGTGTCAGTGGATACCAGAGCTTGAACACCGGAAGCGCAGGTGCGATGAACCCCAGTGCCAGCACGCTGTGCAGGTAGGTTGGGTTCAGTTGGACTAACCGAACCAACCGAAAGAGCTGTTGCCGCCAGACGTCAGGCGTTTTGGCGCCGTTAGCTTCCAGCCAGCAAGCCAGCATGAGCAGCACCGTTGCCTCGTCGTCCGTGGCGAAGGTATCACTGCGTAGCAAGGCCTCTAGGGCGGCAGCAGGCAGCGCCTGCATCTGCTGCCGAGCTTCCGGATCACTGAGCAGCGAGGGGGCGTCACGGAAGGCCCAGGCAAGCATTTCGCTGAATACCGCGCCGGCTGATGTTGCAGCCGCTGCTAGGGGCGCCGCAACAGCGCCGGCAGCGGTGCCGCTAACGGCAGCGGCGGCGTTCTTGGTTCCGCCGGTGGTTGCGGCAGTTGCGAGGGAAAGTTGTAGGAGAGCTGCACCTGTGGCGCCATGCTTGGCTAGCTGCTGCCTGCACGCACGGAGAAGCGAAGCCGTGCTGGGGTCGTCAGCAGCATCCGCCAGCAGTGTACGGCAGCCGTACAGCTCCGTGACGCCAGCGAGGGGTGTGGCGGTGACGCGGGCCGTCAGGGCAGCTCCGCACGCCTCCACGCAGCCCTCCACTTGCAGGTAGGCGGCAAGGCGGCGAACTTTGAGGAGGCCTTCCGTCGTGTTGACGTCGAGCTTGCCGCTGTAGATGTACTGCAAGGCTGCCATGGCGTACGGCAGCTCCTCCTGACTGCCCAGCGGAACGCGCAGCTCTGGCTTGGTCCCAGGGCCGCGCTCCGTCACCCAGCGGTCCGCCTGGGCCGCGAAGCGGGGAGATCCACCGCATAGCACCAGCTGGTGGGCGGGAAGCGGGTCGCCAACCGTGGCTGGGGGCTCGGGAGAACCTGGGGAAAGGGGTCAAGTGGGCATCCTAAAAAGAGCAAGGTGGGCAATCTATAGTACTTTGCAAGGAGTCAAGGTTATTACCGTGTTCATCCTCCTCATCCTCTCCCTGGGATGAATCCGCAGACCCTGACCTCCGGCGCTTCCTGGTCTCCTTGCCGGGACTATCTCCTTGGTTAATGTAAAACAATACTGTACAGTCAGATCGGTCCTCTCGTCCAAAAAGAGTTGACAGATAGGACAACAATGTCGTCGACATTTGGGTTCCCGCCTTCCGTGCGCCTGTGCTGCTATTGTAATCGACTGTTATATTACGAATTTATAGCTGTTGTACCCACAGCACATTTATTATAACTCTGATTCTATGGACGACGGAGCTCCAACTGACGGCTTTGCGACTCGGTCTAAGCCAATAGGCATCTCTGGCACATCTTCAAGGCAATTTCGGAGTTATTGCAGCAAGCATTGTTATCTACTCGTGTTGATCAGCAGCTTTGTCTCGCGGTTTCAAGCAGTGGCCGTGCTGTGTGGCAGTGACAGTACAAAACGAGTCTTTTGGAATGAAGGCAAACAGTACTTACCGACGCCGGCAACAGTTGCCTGATAACCTTGCTGCTCTGGCGCGGTTGATCAAGGCGGATCGTACTGCAGTACACTGCCGACTGGAGAGAAAAGCTAGTACTGTGTCACTGTGCACAAACCCGCTTGTTGCATGTCAGGGAAAGCGGCCCTTACGCCCTGTCGTGCGCTATGTGCGAATCCTAGGGGTACCCCCTACACTAACAAGGAGGGAGAACAGTGCTTATACAATGCAGAGTTCAGTTGCAAAGGCAACGTTATGCATACGCCACCTGTTATGCACACTACCCAACTGGGTAATTGCCAGTATCGTTTGTCGCATGCAAGATGCAACGGCATCTCGAAGGCGCCAATGCAACCACTCCAAGCCGCCAATAGCAGCCAACCCACTTCCGCACCTCAAAAGCTCCCACAACCCCTCACATACTACCATGGCGTCAACCATGACGTCTAACGCTTGCACCGCGTACATAACGATGTGAGCAACCTTAGTAAATGCAGGTCCCAAATGTGCGCATGTTCCGTCACCAACATCGTTACCCCTCGGCACACAGCGTGCATGTTCCTCGTCGCGAGGCCCTCCCAGGCAAGGCCCCCCCTGTCATGTCAACCACTCAGTCAAAGAACACATGCGTTCTCTGGTGGTGGTTGTTGTGATGATGATGATGCTGCTGCCCGCCACCGCCACCGCCGCCTCCCCTGTGCTGCTGCTGCGGCGGCGGCGCACCGGTAACCATGATAGGCGCGCGCTGGCGGCTCCCGCCCTGCTGCTGCCCGTACCCTCCATGCCCGCCTCCGCCACCACCATTGCCGTACCCGCCGCGTTGGCCCCCCCGGTCGTAAGCATCATAGCGCGGCTGCTGTTGCTGCTGCTGCTGGTGATGGTACGACTGCGATTGGTAGCCCTGGCCCCGGTCCTGATTGTGACCGTGGCTATAGTGGCTGCTGTTATGGTTGTGGTTGTCCTGCCGGCGCCCTCCGCCGCCCCCACCTCCACCTCCACCGCCCTGGTGACGGTGACTATGGCTGTGCCCGTGACCGTGGCCATGGCCCCGCCGGTGCGGTTCCGGTTCCGGCGCATAGCCTATGTGGAAGGTGGGCGCCTGGCCGCCAGCAGGCGTGAACCCCCGTGCATGCTGCTGCTGCTGCTGGTGGTGGTTGGTGTGTTGGTTATTGTGGTGCTGGTGGTGCTGGGGTGCAGGAGCCGCAGCCGTGACCTGCATCAGGGCAGGCCGACGGTGCTGCTGCTGCTGAGGCTCCGGTTGTTGTTGCTGCTGCTGTCGGCCCGAGTCGCGCCGACCCGAGCGTCGCCCTTCCTCCTTGCGAGCGCGCTTGGCACCGCGGGAGGCAGAGCGGTCGTTAGCGAGCGCAGCAGCCGCAGCCGCAGCAGCCTCCGCTGCATCCTCCCTCCCTCGCTTCTGCGCCCTGCCGCCATTGCTGTCACCTCCGTTTCCTCCACGCCGCCCCGGTGTACTGTCCCGCCGCTGCTGCTGCTGCTGCTCCTTGGACTGACGCCCTTTACGCCCTTCCGCACGTCCCTTCTTTCGACCCGACCCACCACCACCATCACCTCCACCGGCACCATCACCATCGCCACCACCCTCCTCCGGCGCCTCTGCCGCAGCAGCCGCCGACGACTCCCGCCCACGCTTCTTCCCACCCCGACCTCCCTTCCCTCGCCCCTCCCCACTCTTCCTTTTCGCACCCCCTCCTCCGCCACCTCCCCGACCTGAAGGTGACGCCGTCTCCTCTCCTTCCTCTGGCGCCTCTCCTTCTTCATGCTCCTGCTTCTGCTCGCGCCCTCGTACCCGCTGCTGCTGCTGCCGGCCGGCCTCCCGCTCGTCCTCCTCCTGCTCCCGCTGCCTCCGTGCCGCCGGCTGGGGCGGCTGCGCGTAGTAGCCCAGGTCCCGGAGGTGCGGCACACGGGGTCGCGGGCGGCTGGCCAGGATGGGCCCCAGGCGCAAGATGCGCGACAGCAACGACTCATCGCGGTGGGAGGGCGCCGTCAGCATCTAGGGAGGAGGGCGGGAAGTGGGTCAGGGAAATGGGTCAGGAAACGAGTCATGGTGAGACCGGTGAGAGGCACTTCCGTATCGGCAATGGAGCCCTTTTAGCAAACTCAGCCCACTCAGCCCTGCCGGCCCCCATGTCGCCACCCACCTGGTATGCGAACTCAAAGGCCGTCTTGACGCGCATGATGTTGAAGGAAGAGCGGCAGACGTCGTTGTCGGGGTCCTTGGGGTCCTCCACCGCCAACAGGAAGGGGCGGTCGCAGTTGAGCCAGCCGCTGTAGCTGCCGCCACCCGCCTGGCCGCCCGGCGGACTGTCCTTGTCGGTCTTGCGGAAGAACTGCCCGCCGCCCGCGCAGCTGATGCCCACCTGTGCATGGCACGATGCATGCAGGCGTGTGGGTGCATGCGTGCAGAGCGTTAGGCAAAAAGGGGACGCGAAGGGAACGATGCGGGTATGGCGAGTAGCCTTCTTCAGCCCCACTCACACCCCGCGAATGCCTGGTTCAACTTCTCCCTCAACCGCTCCCCAAACCGCCGACCCACCTCCGGCATGTTGATCACCCGGCCGTAGAACCTGAAGAAGTCCACCAGCAGCGCCCCCAGCCCCGGCTCCACCGCCCCGCTCTCCGACCCACTCGCCGCCGCCCCCGCAGTGCCGTGCACCGGCTGCTGCTGCTGCTGCTGCTTGTCCTGCTGCGGCTGCTCGCGTTTGCGGCGCTTGCCGCCGCCGCCCTCCTCGGCCTCGCCGTCCATGTCCCTGTCCGCCGCAGCTCCCCTGCTGGGCCTGCGCGACGCATGCAGCTGCAGGAAGGCAGCTACCAGCGTGATGAGGGCGTAGGAGCCGATGCCGCCCGTGTACACCTCGTTTAGCTCCCGCTGCTGCAGGAAGAGCTTGAGGCAGAGGATGAGCGGGCGCATCATGGGCCAGGCGGCCGTCATCTCGCTCACCAGCTGGGCGGCCTGCAGGGAGAAGGGGAGGGGGAGGGAAGAGGGGTGAGTCGGCGAGAGGAGGTTGGGGAGAGTGGAAGATGTACATGGGAGACGGAAGGTAGGGTGCATCGTACTGGTGAGGGGCACATGGGGAGCGGGAATGAGCGTGGTACGCTGTCCCATCTGGGTCAAGGCGCAGGAGCTGCCTGCATGCGTGCTTGCCTTACAGCCGAAGCATGCTAACCCCCCGCCTGCTCTTCTTCCTGCTCCCCGCTCACCTGAGGCCCGTTGGCCACGTCAAACGACACATCGAAGGCCAGGTTGCCGTACTCCACCGTCTCAAACTTCACGATGGGCACACGCGCCTTGCCGATCACCTGGATCGCCCGCCCCACGTTCCTCTTGGTGAGCGCCGCTGCCAGCGCCTTGAGGCCCGCCTGCACGTTGCTGCAGCCGCTGTCCAGGATGACCAGGTCCACGTCAGAGGTGGGCACGTACAGACCCGTGGCGTAGGAGCCGAAGATCTCGCACCTGCACATGCATGCATGGTGGAGGGACACGCATGGGCTTGGTGCCGCAATGGCTAGCAAATGTACGGCTCGGTCCATAACGGCTCGGTCCATAATCACCGAGCACTTGGCACCTCGCAACGATCTCGCCTGCCAGCGTTAAAGTCAGCGTGGGGAGCAGCCCCCTTCGGGGCCCTGCGTGTGCCACACACCACACGACCTCCATCACACGCACACGGCCCCCTGCCTGCCAGTCTGCCTGCCGTACCTTGCGTTGGGCCAGATGGAGTTCACCACCTCGCTGACCGCCGCCACCGACGCCCGCCGCGCCTCCGCCTCATCCGGAGTGGGCTGCACCAGCTCGCACAGCTCAACCAGCTCTGAGGGGCGGCGGAGAGGTGCGGTTGAATCGCAGGCATGCATGAGGGGCGGCGCGAGGCAGGAAGGCACGCAGCTCGGGCATGCACGCATGGAGATGCGACCCATGCAATAAAAGCAATGCTAGTGGAGTGTTGCGAGAAGTGGGGACCAACCCCCCGCTTGTAGGTGGCAATGTGGGCCGCCCTCGTTGCAGCAGCTATCGCACACATGTGACGGGCCAAACCCTCAGGCAAGGCCCAAATGACTAGCCCTTGCCTTGGTGCAGCCGCAGCAGTGGGCTCTCGATACGCGACACGTACGACATCCAGTACGGCCGTTGGCCCAATTTCCGAATGTTCTCCTCCTCTGCTAGAGCATCCGCGGATCCAGGTGCCGGCGCCGCCTTGTCCGCGGACGTGCCTGCGGCACCTGCGGCCGCAGCAGCTGCCGCTGCTGGTGCTGCCAGTTTTGGCAGGGGAATGTACTCAGCGTTTACCGGTTTGGTCGGGGGCTCTGCTGCTGTATCCGGAGCCGCTTTTGCGTCTTGCGCTGCTGCGGCCGGCTGCTTGGCTGGAGTGCCTTGCGTGAGGTCCTCATCGGAGTCGGACAGCAGGTTGATGACCTCAAGTGTTGGGCCCGTCAGAGATGGAGGCGCTTCCTTTTGCCCTAGAGGCGCCTGTTCGGGCTCATCTTTTTGCCGCTGTTCCTGCACCTGTTCGTGCTTAATGCTCACGTTTCCTAACTGCCGCTCCTCCTGCCGCTTCTCGGACTGCTTAGCATCCTGCTTTTCAGACCGCCTCTGAGTTGCATCGTTCTGTTCTGCAGCTGCATCAGGCTGAACGAGGTGCGACTAGGGTCAGAAAGGGATCGTAGGCAACATCTCTTACGACCTATGGGCGTTGACCCTCAGCTCACACCTGTGTCGCGCTTTTTGGAATTGATAGCTCCGACACAAGCGTTGGCAAAAGAGATTTCGCTGACGGCACAGACGTAAAGAGGGTGTTGAGGAAAGAGCTCGCCGCCGTTCCAAGGGCTGAACCAGCCCCGCCGCCGCTTCCTGCGCCTAGACTAAACCCAACAGACTTGTATGCTATGGTTCGTTGCTCAGACATTGTTAAAGTGAAACTCCGGCACTAGCCCCAGATGGTCTGAGCTAATGAGGGTATCCAAGCTAACCGTTATATTGAAGAGTATCCCATGATTGTGTTTCTCGTGCACTCTGGCAGTTGGTAGGGAGTCGATATCAAAGCCGACTTTCAGAAGCAACGACCTCGCGCATCGCTTGCTTGCACATTTCCCGTACGGCCTCCTGACGCGCATGAATTGCGATTGTTTAAGCTAGTAATAAAGCCATTGACAGTTACCAATCCATTATATACCCACAGATGGCGAATTTGCTCTCTAGCCCGTTTTACTTCCCTTCACCGGGCTAGGACTGAGCAAAAATGCCGCGCAGTAAATTAGCAGTATACAAGCAGCAGTTGCGAGCTGCAGAGGAGGATGTCAAGCGCAAGGTCCGGTGTTTGCTCGATGGGGTCGCGGGCGAGCGCGTGCCGACACTTTTACCCTTTGCAACATGACTACTACGCGTACCTGTATGCATACCAACATCCTATAAATTGGGGGCCTTTTGGGTCGCAAAGGTATAACAGGATATACAAGAATGTAACCACAACAGCAACTAATGCCTACAGGCGAAGCAGCTGGAACAGCTGCGGGAGCAGGTGGACCAGGCGTGGACAAAGGTCGAACAGCTTGAGGGCGAAGTAAACAGCAATGTCACCCTGGAGGAAGACGGTGAGCACGCGGGCACGTGGTCCCTTCCAACCACCTAACCACCTATCCGGGAAATGAGCGCAGTTGCTAAGTTACGCGGGTTGGTTGGTTTAATATGAGGTGATATGAGGTGGATTCAAGAAACCCAGAAGGCACATGTTATAGGACGGATGTCCTCCATAGTTTCGCCCAATTGCTTAGGACCCGGCGCAAAACATTAAACCCCATGCATCATTCCAACCCCATGATGCCACCGGTTCCCCATCCTTCTGGCCCACATCCCTTCCTTTCTCCCTCCCCTTTCCCCCTCCCCGCCCCCTCCTTCAGTCCAAGCCCTGCTGCAGCACCAGCAGCAAACCGCCGCTGCCTTTAAGGACTATGAGGTGAGGGAGGGGCTGGCAGCTCTAGCACGTCTTGGCGCCTTGGCTGCCCCTAGCTGCTCGGGTGTCGCCAACCCAGCCTCTGCCTGTGGGGGTAGCAGCTACCGGCCCTTACCATGCCTACCCCCCCTCCTTCTACACCCTCGCCCCTGCCTCCCGCTGCCCTCCATGCCCCACCCTTTTTCTCCCCCTCCCTCCACCCCATGGTGAAGCCTTGTCATACAGCTCGTCAGTTTCTTCCTTCTTATCCCCCTCCCCCTCCCTCCCCCCTCCTCCCCCCCCCAGAACCGCGTGCTGGCTCTGGAGCTGCAGGGGCTGGTGGAGCGGTGGCGCACGCTGGACCTGGAGGAGCTGTCGCAGCAGAACCACGACCTGCGCGAGGAGTGCATGCGGCTGCAGGCGGAGAACATGGAGCTGAGCAGGTGGGGGGGGGGGGGCGGGGAGAAGGAGGCAGCAGGCGTGCATGAGAGGAGGGAGAAGGGTCGGAGAGAAGGGAAGACGACGGAGAGATGTTCCTTCTCTCTCAACTGCATGCACTGCCCTGCTGGGCCCCAATCTCCCCACTCCACCCCCCCTCAGAGCGGTGGCTGAGAACAGCTTGACGGCTCGTCGCGACCTGGCCAAGATTGAGTTGGCGCTGGAGATGACGGTAGGGTGGGGCAGCAGCGGGCTGGCAGGGGGGGCAGGGGTCGGGGGATAACACCAAACCACAAGTGGCAGGGCAGGGGGCGCGAAACACGGTAGTAGGGAAGGGCCTGGCATGCAACGGCGGGAGAGAAGGGATGCGTGGAGACGTCGAGTTGGTTTTCGTCAATCATGTCCTTCCGCCGTTTGCTGTCCATCTTCCTGCCCTCCTGAGTCCTGACTTGCCTGCCGTACACAGGTCAAGGCCAAGATGCGGGACATGTACGACAAGATCAAGCAGGAGCTGTACAACGAAATGGACGACAAGACCAAGAAGATGGTGCGTGAACGGCACTCCCAACCAGCCAGCCAACCTTGCTACCACCCGAACTGCCTAGACCACCCACTTGCTCCTCCCCGCTGCCCACTGCCCGCCTACACCCCTGCCCTACCTCTTCCACGCCCCCCCAGGTAGCCGAGCACGGTGCGCTGCAGGACTATGTGCGCACGCAGGCGGCCCACGCAGCCTCCCTGGACCGCCAGTACCGCAGCCTGCAGGTGGGGGTGAAGTAAGGGGGGGGGTGGAGGGAATAGATGACATGGGAAGCAACGGAGTTCCAAACCCAAATCCCGACACACGGAGACACTATTGGGAGGGAGGGGGTAGAGGTAGAGGTAGGAAGCCGACTGGAGGCTTGAGGAGGAGCGGAGGGCTGAGAGCATCATCCTAATTCCTTCACCGTCCTAACCTCTTTCCCGCCCCCGCCCCGCCTCCCTCGCCCCCAGGCCGACCGCACTCGCTTCAAGGTGGATGCTGACGTGGCCGCCAGCCTCAGCGAGCAGCAGGCGTCGCAGGCGGTGGGGCTCAGGTGCGGGGTCGGGTGGGGTGGGGGAGGGGGGGTGATGGTGAGAGCGGGGTGGCAGTACCTTATAAGAAGGCATTTACGGCTGGCCAGTAGCTGGCACATTCTGGACCAGCTCTCAGTCAGGTACCCCCCATTGCGGTTAACCCTATGCACAATAATACCACCACCACCCCCCTTCCCGGCGGCTCAGGCGGCAGCTGCAGCAGGCCTACCAGGCGGTGGAGCTGCTGCGCCGGCGCCTGGCGGACAGCGAGGCGCGCGCGCAGGCGGCGTGGGACGAGGCGGTGCGGGCGAGCTCCAGGGAAGCGGTGGCGGCGGCGGCAGCGGCGCGGGCGGGGCTGGCGGCGGGCGGGCATGGCGGTGCGGGGGAGGCGGATGCGGACAGCGCGTTTGGCATGATGGGTGAGAGCGCGAGGGATGGGTCGGGGGGAGGGGGGCGGGGGAAGGGGCCAAAGCGGGTGGGGGCCGAGCTACCGGATTTCAACTGTACGACTGTCACCCTGTCACTTCTTTGCCTCTTTCCGGCCCACAACGCAATCAGGCCCTCACTTGTGGTCCCATTAGAACGGAATGGTTTCTCTTTGACCCTACAACGCAATGCAGCACAAGGTCCTCAACCTCACCGTCCTCACCCCTCTACCTCTTGAACCCCCACTCCGCACCTCCCCGCACCACCCCACCATCACCACCCAGGCGAGGGCGCCGAGATCGCAGCCCTGGAGTCTCAGCTGCGCCACGCCAAGCAGCGCTTCGAGCGCATGCGGCTGCAGCGCGACCGCTGGCGCGACCGCTGCCTGCTGTACGAGAAGGCCACTGCGCAGCTGCAGGCGGCGCTGCTCACGCTGCGGGAGCACCAGCAAGCGGCGGGGCTGATGGTGGGGCAGGCAGGAGGGGGAGGGGGAGCGGCGGGAGGGGGTTGCGGTGGTGTACGGCAGGGAGATCTGGATGCGATCTGGTGTCGTACGGGAGCGGGGGGAAAGGGAGGAGGAGGAGGGGGAGCGGGAGGGGGAGGGGTTTCGCCGAAGGGAGGCGGAGGAGGAGGAGCACGAGGTGGTTGGGTTGGGGGTGCGTCGCCGAAGGGGGGTGGGGTGGGGGAGGTGCAAGGGGATGGGGAGGGAGGGGGAGGAGGGTTGGAGGCGTCTAGGCCGTCCACGGCGATGGGTAGGAGCCGGCCTACGACGCCGAACGAAGGGAGGAGAGACGAAAGAGGGGGTGGGGGAGTTGGAGAGGACGAAGGGGAGGAGCTGGGTGGAGTTGGGGGAGGTTGGGGCTGGCCGACAGGGGCGGGGGTGGCGGCGGCGCGGGCAAGACGGCCAAGAACTGCCGCCGCCGGGCCATCAGCATCATCCGAGGCGGCGGCAGCGGCGGTGCCGGGCTTGCCCGTACGCCCCCGAACGGCGGCACCGGTGGGCTGCGCCGGCGCCGCCGCCAGACGTGAGGCAGAATCCATACGCGCGTCCGTACATCTGACGTCGCCGTCGCCCGCTCCCTCCGGCATTGACGATGACGACGGCGGTACGACACTCACGGAAACCGGCGGCGGCGGCGCCGCCGCTACGGAGGACGGCTCCGCATTGACGACTCGTCGGTCGGTGTCGCCGCCGGGCAAGGTACCCTTGTCGCGGCTGTACAGCAGCGAGGCCGAGGCGTTCAAGGTCGTACGGCAAGTGCAGTACGACCAGCCTTTCTGGCCTTCTGTCACGGAGTTTCGGGCCCTGAGCCCTCCTCGTGCTGCATCGGCGAGGACAAGTACGACAACAGTGATGACGACAGCGGCGCAGAGTCCCTCCGCTGCGGGGTCAGCGGCGGCGGCGGCAGCGTCCGCCTCCCCGCTGGCGGCCCTGGCGGCGCCGGCAAGCACGCCACGCCGTACACCCGGGTCCGTACGACCGCATTCGGCTGTCGTACCGGACCCCTCAGCAGCAGCGCCCACGCCGCGTTGGACCATCGGCAAGTCGTTAACAGGGCTGACATCATCGCCATCGCCATCGCCGCCGCCGCCGCCAGCAGCGGAGGCCACCGCTTGGGGGGCCGCCTTCGGTGGCGCCGACGGCGCAACGGCGGCGGCAGCAACCTCCTCTGAAGCGTCTTCATCCGAGTCACGCCATGCAGGGAGGTCTAGTCGTGCCGCAAGCGCCACCGCTGGCGGCGGCAGCTTGGGTCCCAGTCCGTTAGGCCTCACGTCGACGCTGACGGTGGCCGCGGCATCGACAGTGACGCTGACGCCGGCACAGCAAGCAGCGGAGGCTGACTGGCAGTCCTGGCGCAGCCAACACAAGCGCTCCCAATCCCCCGAAGTCGCTGCCATTGCGCGGGGGACTGCGGGAACGGCGTCAGCTATCGCAGCGGCGGCGGCCGCCGCCACGGCCGGGGTCTCCATTGGTGGCGGCAGCGAGATCGCGATGATGGAGGAGGTGTTTGGCGTGAGGTCGCCTAGCCACGGGGAGGATCACGGCTTGGACCGGCCCGCAACACCGGTGTCCGGGCCGGCGACGGGGGCAGGAGCGGCGACGCAGCCGTCGGCAGGTGCTCTTCCGGAGGTCGGTCTGTCCGGCGGCGCATTGTACACTGTCGTACATAGCATAGTTACCGGCGCCAGCGGTGGTGTCACCGGCAGCGGCGACAGCCCTAGCCCAGCTTCCGGCGGCGGCGGCGGTGCCAGCGGCAGAGGCGCCGCTGCCACTGCCACCCCTGCCGGCGGTTGCCTAAAGAGCTCTACCAGCTCTGCCCTGGCGCCTAGCGGCGCCAGCGGCGCCTTCACCACCGCCGCCGCAGCTGGTGGCGGCGGCGGCAGCGGCTTCCACTCGCACAACAGCGGCGGCATGCAGCCTGCCGTCGGAGTCCCCGCCGCCACCGCCACGGTAGCGGCGTACCGCGCTGCCGCCGCCGCCGCGCATGGCGGCTCAACGCCAGCGCTGGCGGCGGCTGTGTCGGGCAACCCGGCACCCATGCTGGCGGCGCTGCGGCGGCCGCCTAGCAGCTTCACGAGGCTATCGAGTGCGGATGTGCTGTTTACGAACACTCGGGCGTCGTCAGCCCGCGGCCTCAGGAATCCTGCATCTGCGCAGAACGTTGGCGGCAGCGGTGGTGGTGGTGGTGGCGGTGGTAGCAGCGGAGGAGGAGGCAACCGCGCGAGCAGCGCTGGGAGCGCGAGTGCTATGTAGAGCTGAGAAGGTGGACGGAAGGTTGGAGATTTGAGGCAGGTACTGGTAAGTTGTTATGAATGTTAATATGTTATGCTGCGCGTGCGGATGCTGGTGAGCCTTTTCTTGGTTGGACGTTTGTGCTTGGGCGGGCATGCCGTTGACAGACTGAAGTGGGTTTGTCCAGGAAAGTGCTTCTAAATAAAGGGGGGTCGGGACGAGCACACATGATACCGTAATCCATGGTAACAGGGTTCAACATTGCACTGTGCATGTGGTTGACCAATTGTTTATTTGCACAGAACGGACGTGAAATGCCATTGCGGGTGACGTCTGGTGGATACTGCTACGTACTGATGATTGGCGAATTGCCTGGTGTTGCAGCATAGGCAACACTGCAGTGCCGTACATAGTCTTCGATGTATTTTTGTGCATGCGCGTTCTTCTTCCGTGTGGCATCTTATGTATGTATGATGGAGTGGCACATGGGTGGTATGGCTGATCGGGAATCTGGACTGTGTCTCGTCATCCCCCAGGCATGGCACTTGACTCTTGAGGCTGGGCGTGCACAACTGGGACACATGAGATTACGTATGGTGGTCGACTTGTTGGATTGCATTGACCGCACGGACTACATGGTGGAGTCACCCCTTGAAGAAGTCCAGCCATGAGTGGATTGGGGCAAGGGTTGCAGCGCAATCCTCGTGTTCAGTCTTGGGCCTTCAATTTTGCCCTTTCCGTTAACGGTTACATAATCAGGTAGCTAATGCAGCTCGGTGTGGCGTTATCGTTGGCCCGTCGTAAAACGTCCTCACGAACCTCATGCTGCCCAGTAATCCATTCTACGCTGTTCTACGTTATAATTTGCTACCATGGAAAGCTGTTATCGGCGACTGTTAGTTGTCGGCGATGCAGAGCAAGCGCCAGATAGCAGCGTTGTACGACGCATTACGGTAGTACCAGCTTCAAATTCGGCAGCTTGCAGCTAGCCCTAACGAAATATGCTAATTGGACTCTAGCATCATTGTTGTACTTGTAGTGGCCATACGCCTCACGCGCAGAGCTTTACCGCAGCCAGCGTCGCTGCCACCTACTGTTTCGGATACTCCCTTTTCCAGTATGGTTTATTGTCAAGCATTTGTTTAGTCGTAGCGACGCTCGCCACGTCTACACAGAGCATGTTGCCTGCGGACTGAGCGGCCCGCCATATTTGAGGATGGCATCATTGGTACCGGCGACAGTTCTCCTTTAAGTCCCGTTGGCTTTGGATAGATTGTACTCGCTTATAGCCAATAAGTATGGCAACCACCAGAGCCTTCTTTCAGAGAGCTTTAATAGGGTTGCTAGCCGCTTTACTTACCAGCTCCTTCACCCAGCCAACAGCAGAGGCCTATTTTAACGGTTACGTCACCTGGGCACAGCAATGTATAGGGAATCCTTCCAACACAGCCTGCAGCTCAGCGGCGACCGATTTCTTCGACTTTGTCTACGCAGTTGCGACAGGGGCGGTAAGGAGCTTTGAATTGCAAATCTTTGCTATGGCCAACACTGTGCAATAATGCTTGCCTTCCTTACCTGTCGCGGCTTGCACTAGGACCCGACGGTGGGCACCGTCCAGCTTACGGCAACCTGCAGGAGTTGCGCTTCTGCTTTAGATACAGCTTTTACCGCTGTCCTGCCGTCTAGTGACTCTGGTAAGTCAACCACAATCACACGGAGACGAACGCTCCACAAGTTACGTACGTTCTTGCCCCTCTCAAACTTCCATCCTGCGCCGTGGCACCCTTACCAATGCCCGCCCAGTTATAGCAACGTCGAAATCCAATCCGTTCATGGGCGACCCTTGCAGGTTCCTGCCCGTTGCTACCCAACCGGAATGAATCAGCCCTAGTGGCCACAGCCCTGCGACGGTTCAGCTGCTGGGGCACAGACACATCTGGCAGCAGTAGCAGTGCTGGCGGAGCCGGCTCCTGTGTCGTACAGGTTGCAAGCGGCCTTCGGGCAGCTGGGCTGCTTGACCGCGTCATGTGAGTTGTCATCGTCACTTAATCCCTCCGACCATCACCCATCCCCTACCCCTTCCATCCCTTCCCTCCACCCACCTCTTCCGCCTGCCCATCTCCGCAAGCCCTTATCTCACACCTCCCCTTGCAATTCCTCCTTACCAAAAAGGCATGCCCCTCCTCCCTCCCCCTCCTCCTCCCCCCTCCACAGGCGCCTGGACCCCACGCTGCGCTTCACCGGGGACGTGTTGCGGTCCGCCTGCGCCGCGCTGGCCCCCGGGCCGCCCGCCGCCCCCTCCTGCTGCGTCCGCAGCTGGGCCTACCTTGCTGCGGCGCTGGCGCACCAGGCGTGTGCGGCCGACCTGGCTCGCGAGCTGATGTCGCTGCCGGGGCGGTGCGAGCTGCTGAGCAACAGGACGGGTGAGCGGGCAGCCTGGGGGCTGATGGGGAGGAAGGCAGAAGAGGAGGAAGCGAACTACGGTAGCCGGGTGACAAGGCTGCACCATGCGTTGCTATTAGCGGTTCTTAGCGAGTAGCGAGCTTGTGATGTGGCTTTGGTTGTCGGATTGGACAAAAGCTATGGCGTATGGGGCCATACATCGTTCCTAGCCGAAGCTTCTTATGCTGCAGCGCCCTCCCAGCCAGAGGCTCGCTTCCCTCCCTCCTCGCGCCCTCAGTTGCTGGCTTCTGCGAGGCGGACTGGCCGTCCTTCCTGCTGCCGCTGCTGTCAGCGCCGCCCGCAGCCCGCTGCCAACAAGTCGCCGCAGCCCCCTCCATCACCCCCGTCTCCACCAAGACATCAGACTCCCCGTCTTCACCCCCACCCTCCTCGCCCTCCACCACCTCCTATCCCCTAGCCAACACCGCCACACCTGCAACTCAAGCCTCGCCGCCTCCTCCCTCCGCGCCGGCCGTCGCGCCCCTGGCCTCCCTCTGGGTGAGCGGCGCCGCCTGCTCTGCCAGCCAGCTGGCGCGGTCGCGCTGCCCCGCCTCCACTTGCGACCTGTGGTGCGGGCTGGTGGGGCGGCTGCAGGAGCTGCAGGGAGCAGGTAAGGGGCTCCGGGGTTCAGATGGGCCGAGGGACGGAGGATACCATGGAGTCCACGTGAGGATCTGGCGGTCTGGTGGGGGCCGCTTGGTTACTACGTGCGTTTGAAAGCCACTCCCTGCTGCTGCTGCTCATGGGAACATACCGACCGCGCCTGCGTCTTAGACGTACGTCTTTAAGCTGTCAAGGTGTGCGGCTGTGCGCGTAGCTTTTGTCTAACAGTTTCTTGTCTTGCTTTTGCCCGCTTGCCCTCTTGCCTTGCAAAACCTTCAGGCCTAGCGAACCTGAGCTCCGAGACCGGCGGCGGCGCCTCCGCACCTCCTCCACCCTACGTTAACAGCGGCGTCAGCAGCAGCGGCGGCGGCCACAGGCGGCTGCAGACCTCCACCCTGGTGGTGGTGTGCGTGTTCTCCGTGCTGTGTGCAGTGATGCTGGCAGCGCTGGCGGCCTGGGTGGTGGCGATGTGGCGTGAGGTGGGTCGGGTGACCCATGGGTCGGGGCCGGGCAACGGACAAGGTATAAAGGGATGTTTTTGGTGCAAACTCTGCTGGTATATGCCTGTGCGACTGCCGCTGTTTACCGTAATGGTCTACGTTGGTAGCATGCATATGCATTACCGGAACATCTTCGCGATGTTCTGTGTGTAACCCCTTACTTTTTGCCCCGCAGAAACAAGCCGGCATTCGGGAGAAGTTCCAATTCAAGCTGAACTTCAACCCGGTGGCCACTACCATGCCGCCACTCTCTACATCCCAAGGAACCTACTCCACTCCTCCCGCAAGGCACTCCCTGCAATCCTGGTCACAGTCCAGCAACCAACCAAACCACGTTGACGGCAACAACAATGAAATCACCCCCGCCGGCGCCCGAGCCCCTCACAACGGCGGCGGCGGCATGCCAAGCAGCGGCGGGGCGGGTGGCGGCACTGACGACCGTACGGCATACATAACAATCGCGGCGACAGCATCGCCTGCTGTTTTGCCACATCCGGCAGCAGCAGCCGTCACCGTCGGCGGCGCGTTGGCGCCTTCCAGGCTTCCTTCAGCAGCGACCTCTGCCGCCTTGAGTCCTAGCGTCTCCATTACCCCCAAGTACAAACCCGGGAGACCCGAGCCCTCCCAGCTGCCGCCCGGCTCACCTCCCGCAGCTGCGTCGTTGGGCGTTGGTGCTGCTGCTGTTGGCGCCGGCGCTGGAAGGCTGCAGGCACCGGCGGCGGTAGCAGCGGCGGAGGCGTTGGCGCCGTCGCGTGGAAGTCTTGCTAGGGTGTCGTCGGAGCGAGGCAGGCTTCGGCGCCGGCTGTCGTATAGTGGTACAGATGAATCGGCGGCGCCAGCGGCGGCGCCTCCGCCGACGCCTCCGAATGGCGGGGCGATCAATGCCGGTGGCGGGGTAACCTCTCCCAATGTCTCACCAACGCCTGCACCGGCATCTCTGATGCTACCTGCAGACGAGGCAGGCGGAATCGGGATGCAGCCACCATACCGAATGGGTTTGGAAGCACCCGGTACGGCAGCCGTAGCAGCGGTGCCAACGCCCTTCACGACAACGGCAACAGCGCCATTGGTCCTACCAAGCATCGCCGGCCGCGTCGGCAGCGCCGGCGGCAGTAGCAGCAGCCTAAACAGGCTCAGTAGTGGCAGCGGTAACAGCACCGGAGGCGCCAGTGTTGCGGCTTTGGGAGCAGACCGATCGCAGCAAGAACTGAGGCGTCGGGGCTCGCGAGGTGGGGCCTGAGTGGGTGACGTCAGGCGACGGCGGCGGTGGTGCCGGGCGGCATCTACCAATACACGCATGCAGCTACCCGACGCGCGGATGCCTGCGTGTGGGAGCGTTGCTTCGCGAAACCCCCTGCCTATCCGCTGCTCTGCCGCTATTTATCGTTGGCTTTTGGTTGGTGGCCTTGCTTGGTAGCCGATTCCGGTTCTACCGTTACCTGTGTTGGTATGTGTTTGCGTTGTTGTTGTTGCGCTCGTTCATCGGGTCTGAGCGCGCGATTATTATAGTGTGTTGTAGCGATGGCTAGATTAGTATATATAAGTGGTGTGGACAGCACCCGTCTCCGTTGCAGGCTTGGCACTCAGTGTGGGTTCTGCTCAAACCGCCTTACGTAATACAGTGCTGATGAGAAGCTTCGCAGACCTAATGCCAATGCATGGCTGCGGGTGCGATGAGTCGGTGAGATGCGGCAGGAGGTGGTCAGGCGTGTGTGGTAAGGTGTAGAATGCTCACGATAAAGCTTTGTGAGTGCAGGGATTGCGGCTGGGCTCACTACTGGTGGCATGACCCATGGGTCATGTCTCACGGCATGGGCGAAGCTTGTTGGCTTCGAGGGGGCCTGGGTTGTTATGATGCAAGCACTTGGCGGGCGATGGAATGACACTGTCGCCATAACGGGTTGATGATGACGCATTATTCCTTACCAAACGCGGGTTGGCAAATGTTGGTTGTGGACTGTTGACGAAATGGTAAAGGTCCGCCGATTCCCGGTTGTTTGGGGCGAGCCATCGCTTGCCCTTGCCGTTGTTGCGTCCGTATGTGTGATTGCTTGTCGTCATCCTGTTACGTTTGTAGCGATATTGATTGTTAGTCTTATCCTGATCTTCTCTCTTACATTGAATGGACACATTTGGGTTGCTGCCTGCGCTTGATGCTATTGATGGTACGACACGGCACGGAGAAAAGCCGAGAACGGGATATGTGAGCGATTAGCCAGCAGGAGTTTTGTTAATTTTCTTATTTCCTGTGATGCTCCTCCTGTGCCGCTTGCTTCGGCGGAGCGGGGGTTCTGGCGTCGCAGGTTGCCTCTGTGATGGAAAGGCGTTCGACACGGTTATGCCTGCGATCGAAATCCGCAGGGCTGTTGACAACAACCGTGATTGTTGTTGCGGTTGCAGGTTTTGGTAGCTCTTCTACAGCCAGACGAGCCTGCTTCCGTTGTTGGTTTTAGGGTTTGTGGCTGCTGATTCCGAGCCTGCTCGTGCGCCGGAAAGGAATATGTCTGGGTTGTGACTAACACAGCTAGCAAGTTACCGCTTTGATGACTTGGCGCGAGTCGCAATCCGCCGTCTGTTGCCAAACGTAACCCTGGTCGGCGTCTTTGCGCGCGTCTGTGCACATGTGACGTGAAGATTTGTGACCAATTGACTCTTGGACGGGCGTGATTGGCAACGCATACATCGGTTTCAATTCGAAGGTGTGCCAGATGCACAGCTGACGATGTCCTCTGTTTTAACGTCAAGGTGCTGGCGATGTGTAAGGGCTGTTTCGGGCGTTGTACGGGGTACATGAAGTTCTGCATGCGTGCAAGTACAACATAGAATGTGCCATGCGCCTCTCACACACATACAGGTGTGCGTGTCGTAATTGTTGTTTCTTGTTCTTGTATAGTTAGGGTCACACAGTAATCTACAGGCTGTCATGTAGTCTTTCTGTACATTTGATACGGGGTGGGATAAGGTAGATAGTTCGCGCCTTTTGAAAAGCACGACGGGTAGGCATGTTTGCCCCCACATATGCCGCTCATGTCGACCGCTTCATTGGTACCGTGTTTGAGGTTTCGGCCGCTTGATGGGGCGAGCAGGAGGAGGAGGAGGTCAGTCTCTAGCACGGGCATGAGACGATGGAGGTCTTGCGGGCATGGAGGTCATTCATTCAGGATGGCACTCATGTTGCCTGAGGTGTAAAATGACGAATTCAAGTGTAGTCCGCGATACCTCGATATTGCTCTGAATCCAAGTTGACAACTGCTTATTTGTGCACTCTAGTACAATACTCTCCCTTGCTCTACCCACCGTGCCTAGCATTCTAGTGCTTGGGCTTGGGCTGCTTTGTACGGCACTGAGAGGACCAAGCTGTAACCTGTGCTGTGAACTAACCGTTGGAGAAACACCAAGCTGGTGTAGTCACCCTGCAGCATTGGTCTTTACACGGACGAGTACTGCGAGCTCATCCAATCTAGCATCGCTTGCACAGAACACACACTACAGATCTAACGCTCGTCCAGCACATGTACGAGCCAATCAGGAAGAAGGATTCAGTGCACCTTTCCCGCTCTCGTCCTTCCCCCTGGTAAGGCACACCTATCGTAGTGTCCCATGCAGCCCCCCTAAATGCTGACCCATACTATTGCAACCACTGCAACCGAAACCCAGGCCTACCCACATCCCCAGACGTCTTCCGCACGACACGCAACTTCAATACGGCTTAAAGTTAGTTTACGCATATCCAACACCCTCACAGCCTCTATCAGTAGGCCCCCTTCATGCGATCGTACGGCCCCCACGTCGTGCACCACCCGAGCATACCGTTCAAGGGTGCCACCGGCGGATGCAGGGTAGAACGAGAGAATACATAGCATCACATCAAAACACGGTACGACACATATCCGCCCACACACCACATAGCAGTAGCTTAGGATTGGGTTTTCCGTGTCCAGGATTCAGCGCCACAGCAGGCCTCATGGCACCCAACAGCGCCGGACAGCGCTGTTAGCCAAAAATACACAAGGTGGCGTTCGCATGTTCCTAGCTAACCCCCTGCCATGAACAAAGCTCACGTATTTAATCATTGGCGGTACACGGGCAATGTCTTGCGGAAGGCGTCCTTCTCATCTTCGGCCACCTGCCGAATAACGGTGGTGTGAGGGAGTGGGGGAGGAAAGGCGTGTGACATGCAGGAGTCGAAATAAAGAGTCCGGGGCGCAAGAACAGAGCAGGGCGACGATTTACCATCATTACCATGGGTGCATTCGTAACCATGCTAGATAATTAGGGAAAGCATGCACCCGTGGATGCTCCAGGGTATGCTTCGTGGGATCCCCATGCGCCACAGTGTATTGCCCCTCCATCCGGCCATTGCTCCATCCCGCCCTTGCCGCACCTGTGGTCCGTCCGGGTTGGAAGGGAATGACGCCTTGTAGCGCCGCTGGCTGCCGCAACCCAGCGACTTGCGCGTGTTGACGCCCGTCACGGGGTTGACGCCGTCCGCGTACTTGCAGAGTGCCTGGGGTGGGGGCGTTGGTGGTGGTGGTGGATGGGTGGGTTCGGAGGGGTAGGTGGGAGTGCGGGCAAAGAGGAAGAACTGACGACATGTGTACGACATGTAGGCTTCACCAGGGGGGCTCACACGGTAGAGCCCGCCCCTCCCGCGCCTCCCGAATGGTGGCAACACCGCTGCTGGCCCCATGCCGTACCCCACCCCGCACCCATATCCACACGCCTCACCGCTCCCCCTACGCCCCCAACCTGACAGCCCCTCACCATGACCTGCGTCTTGTCCAGCAGCGCATTGGTGAAGTCCGCCCCCTCCACCACCGCGTCCTTCAAGTCGCTGCGTGTGAACACGGCCCGCTGCAGCACCGCGTTGCGCAGGTTGGCCTCCACCATGGTGGCTCGGTCCATGAGCACGTCAGACAGGTTGGCGTCCTGTACGGCAGCGTTTGATGCAGGGTACGACAATGTAGGGCAAAAGAGTTTTGCAAGAGGAACGGATCTATTTGTTTAAAAGTGTGACCCGGCTGCCCCGTCCGGGGTTGCCAACAGGAAGGTGATTGTGGCGGGAAGGGTATGTACGGAAGGTACGGCATGCACGGTACGGGCCGTACCTCAAAGTTGGTGCGGAATGTAACTGCTTTAATGAAGTAGGCTCCCTGCAGGTTGGCGCCCTTGAAGCTGGCGTTACGACAGTCCGCAGAGGTGAAGTTGGATCGTCGCAAATCCTGCGGGATGGGAGAGAAAGAGGGCGAGAGGAGATGCAGCCAGCGTGTTCCTGTGACTCAATGTTGCCTCGCGCATAATGTTGGTTATGGTGGTGGTGGTGGTGTAAATGGTGACATTGTGTAAACGAAACCTGCGGGCTGTACCTTACCTGGCCGCTGAAGTCCTTGCCCTGCAGGTCAGCTTCGCCGTACTGCTGCGCGGATCCAATTCCAAACTCACCACCTGCATGTATGGCAAGTGGGGGTTAGGAAGGGGCCGAGAGGGTATGTCATGACATCATTTGGTACTGTGGATAGGGTGGCTGATGCGCAACCCCCTTCCACCGTAAGAAACCGTGGCATGAAAGCGGCTGGATTGTCAGCGGGGCAAATGCAACGGTTACAGACGGCAGAGGAGGTTGGAGCCCTAGCACGTTCAGGGGTGGTACATGTGGTACAGATGTTGGTTAGGGGCGTGGCCAGAAATTTGCATGGGCTGTCTGGAACCCCAATAAACAGCGACCTTTTTAACACACCCTGTTCAGTGTAGCTGCTATCAGCCTCAATGGCAGAAGCTGTGCACGATGCCGCGAAAGCGACAAGCAGGATGGAGATCGCACTAGCCCCCAAACCAACACAGTATGGGCGCGATGCGTAGTACGCACCAGCCGCAGCTTCAAGCGCGTTTAAGTCTGCGAGCGCCGGACCCGCAAGGGCGAGCGATGCCGAGGCCAAAAGCGCTGCCGCTGTGCTCCTCAGCTGCTTCGGCGTAACCTGACACCGTACTTGAACTGTCCGCGAGCGGCTTGAAGATGGGCGGCAGCTGGAAGCGCGGGAGGGGTTCCGCAGCGCCATGTTTGTGTGGCTAATGACAGTTAACGAACTTAGCTGCGACCCTAAATGCCAAAATGAACTTAATGTCAAAGTTTGACTATGCCTACAATGGAAAAACCTGCCTTATGGACTGTACAAAAGCCTTTCGGGTTGGAGTCGCTGGGCTGCCGAATTTCCCATGGTTCTGGAGCAGCGCAATCCAGCTTGCAGGCGGAGGTAGTGAACCAACTCTCTCACTCGTAGACTCGACCACGTATACGGTATACCGTAACGCAGAAGTAAGAACGGAATATCACGTTTCGCACATGAAGACTGTTCTGCTTGCGGATACCGCAACACCTGTAATTGCTGATTAGGCAAGAAAGCCAAAGCGAGTTACCGTTGGGGTCACGCTAGTAGGGTATCTTGAAGACTTTCGGTCTAGGGAAATTTAGAAGCGTGGTTAACGGCACTACAAGGTCTAGCGTGGTCACCGGTCACCACGGCACCGGTCCGGGCTGCCGGTGGCTAGTACTTGACTTAAAATGCGCGTGTTAGGCAGGACAGCAGGTAATTTGCGTGGGGAATGATCCCAACCATGGCAGCCCATCCGTCAGACCCTGTAGCCTCCTTGCCTCCAGGCCCCGCACCCGCTGCAGCTTCAACGGGAGGAAGGGATAGCTCTGCTGCTGCAGTTACTTACACACCTTCAGCAGGCATGCTGAGCCCGCCGCCCACACTCAGTTGGGTCCTATGTAACCATGCAGGAGCCACTTCAGGAGGCATCCCGAACTTTTCCCAGCTAACTGTAAGCCACGGCTGCCGCACAGAAGACGCGTGGAAACCCTTATTTGGGTCATCCTTTTTTCTACTGTGGGACGAGAGGTAACAGGGAGCATGGGGTCAGTTAGCCGTTGACTGAAATGATTCTCTATCTAAAATCCAGCGCCTACAGAAGCGCCGCTGTAAGAAAATATATAGATAGGATATATTTTCCTTCCACCTTAACTGAAATTGTGTCACAGCTTCGACTTTGACTTCGCCGATTGTCCTTTAACTTCCCCGGTCTCGTTGTCATTAAGACCCAATCTCATAAATGCTTGTTTTTAGTTCCACTGCAAGTAAGAGATAATCTCTCGGTGCAGCAAGTTGCTGGCGAACCGCTAAGGGTTTCGGCTTGCATAGCCGCCCACGCCCTTGACAATGATCATCTGAAGTATAATATAATTGTACACCAATTGATCCAGTTAAAGGCGGACTCGCTTGCGCTTGGGACCTTGCTTTGGCGTGGACCTACAAGCAGCCGGAGAGATGGTCGGTGCTCTCTTGCTATCGTCAACATGTTGGAATGAGCTGTATATGACTTCATGTCACCTGCCATGTGGCCTGCTGCTGGCCAGTAAAGGGTGTTCTTGGGTTAACCATCAGCATCCCTGCTACAGGGTGCCACCGTGAAGGCCCAAACACGAGCTCTGCTCGCCAAGAGTGCTGTGTACCAGCGGCGTAACACAGCCACCAATCTATGCTTAATAATCGCACCGGTCTTCTTCTGCGTATTGCTGGCAGGCCTGCAGGTGCGGGTTGTCCATGAAAGCTGGCACGGAGCAAAGAGAGCATGTTAGGACATGCGCTCATGGAGAGGGGTATCTAAGGGCTGGCGTATGACGTCCGTAGGGCTTCTCCGGTTGGTGAAACCGTTGTCTACAACTGCCGCTCTACGGCCGCATAGGCAACAGCCAATCCCACTCCAACAACCTTGCACCTTCCCCCCGTTGCTCCTCAGGCCCTCGCCAACCACCTCATTCTGCGCCAACCGAACAACCAGGTGGGGTGTGCTGTCAGCCTGCATGCAGCCCCTAAATCCGCCCTTCCGGTCTGTTCGTCACGCCTGCATTGAGCCCCAGAGCGGCGTTCCGTAGGGTCTTTCCAGAGCTTTGCATGCACGAAGTTTTGCTTCCTTGTTCTAGTGCTGGTAGACTTCCCTGATGGGCTTCATGTGCGGCAGCTTTCCCCTTCATCTGGGTCGCAACAGTTGCAGGCCCCCCCATGTGGGTTGGGCGGCAGCTGCAACGGCACTGCAGTAGCATGCATCGTCCGAACGCCCCCTTCCCAGCGTCCGTCCCCTCTCCTCCTCATCCCTGCCCTCCCTCTCTCTCATCTTCTTCCCTCCTGCGCCCCGCCCCATGCCGCCACGTGCTGCCATGCTGCAGTGCGGCTGCCGCTGCCTCAGCTGCTGCGTGCCCAAGCGGGTGGAGCTGCCATACACGGCGGAGGAGCAGGCGCGGGTGGACGCGGGGGAGCAGGTGGGGCTGGCTGCGTGCGTGCATGTGTGTATTTTGGGGCGCTCTGGTGGCGGGCAGATGGGAGCAAGCGTGGGCTCGCTATGGGGAGGTAACAATGAGACACCCCTGGCAGAACACATGGGGGTTGGGATCGTACATGTTGCCGGGTTGCGAGAGCGCTTGCAAGCTGGCGAGCAGGTGGGGTCCCGGGGGGGTTTCCGGAGCCTCGGACAGAGTGCGGGATCGAATGTCAGGCCCGGCGGAGCACCCCCACCTGCTCGCCCTGTCGGGGTATGACATTTGATGTGCCGTACAGAGCCCCGGCACGCTGGCAGGCATGACGACGTACCCCGGCACCCCACCCTTACCCCCCTCCCCTCCTCCCCTCTTCCGTGTCCCCCTACGCGCCCTCCTCCCCCCAGGTCCCCCGGCGCTACACCCGCACCGAGCAGTGCGCCCCGCTGTCCGCCGGCTGGTGTGAGCGCCTCGCCAGAAACGCCACATGCCGGCAGTACGACAAGACCACCTGCAGCCTGCGGTACAGCAGCCCCTCGCAGTCCGTGTACTGCCCCATAACCACCCCCAGCAGCTGGCCGCCCGTCATGCAGACCCCCCGGTTGGCGGTACGGGCGGGCGGTACGACAGCGCAGTGGCTGCCGTACACCGGGAGCGATATGGATGCGGCTCGGCGGATGGCGGGCAACATGTTTGACTCTCCGGAGTTGCCCAACCTGCAGGCGGTGATGGATGTGGTGCGTAGCCTGCATATGTTAGGATAACTGGCCACTGGTGTGTGTAGTTGAGCGGAAACAAGAGCAAGCAGTTGGGATAGGTTCGCATGTGAACCGCGAGTACAGGCAAAACAGAGGTAAAACAGAGGTGGTGTTGTGTGCCGGGTGGGATGCATGGTTGCCGTACCCTACCCATGCAGCCCGCTTTTCCACTGCTGCAACGCCTCCTTTCACCTCCCCTCACCTCCTCCCGCGCTTCCCATCCCTCCCTTCCCCCCATCATAAAACATCATTAAACGCCTTGGGATTCTTCTTTTCCCTCCCTCCTCCCCCTTCCACAGCTGCGCATGAGCCCGCTTGCGCTGCTGAACCTGCGTCCCTCGGCACTGGTGCAGCTGGTGTTGCCGCTGCTTGGGCCGGGGGGCCTGGTGAGCGCGGACGGGCTGGCGGTGGGCGCGGCGCAGCTGAGCAGGCTGGAGCTGAACTTCGGGTCCAGCCTCAAGTGAGGGGGGGGAGAGGGGGGGGAAGGGAGGGCAGGGCGGGGGGAGGGAAGGGGATGAGGGGAGGTGGAAAAGAGGGGAGGAGCTTGGGGATGAAGAAGAAACACCATGGGCGGGTAAGCGGGGGGGAGGGGAAGCTCTTCACCCCACACGTCCGTCCCCTGCCCCTCCCCCTCCTCCCTCCCTCCTTCCAGGTCCAACAACGACTACTATTTGGAGAACGCGTTCGTCAACTCCAACAACGCCGCATCCCGACTGCAGTTCCTGCTGCCGGAGGGTGGCTGCGAGGCCTCGGGACTGAGTGCGGGTGAGAGGCAGGGGAGGAGAGGAGGAGAGGTGATTCACGTTCTGCAATTCACATCCACCCCTGGGGCAGGAGATTACTGGCTTGGGCATCGGGAATGCCGTGCTTTTTAATTCCTGGGTCCCCAAAGCCCCGAACCTTCTCCTCTTCCACACCGCAACTCACCCTCGTCAGTTTCCTTCCTTTTACCCACCTTACCCGCATTGTGTATTTTCCTATTCCCCCCGCCTCTCCCCCTCACCTCACCAGACCTGGCCCCCTTCACCTCCGACGGCGGCGGTGTGCCCCTCCCCGAGCTGCTCCTCCGCTACTACAACGCCACCCACCCCGCCCTCATGCGCCCGCTGCTGAGACTGCTCAACATCACATCAGCGGAGAAGGTAGGGGGAGGGAGGGGAGAGAGATGGCCACTTTCCACGTCCTCTGTCCTTTGGGCCGCATTGGGTTGCGACCTGTCGTGCACCGTGTTGTCGTACCGTGTGCCATGGACCGTACACGTGCGCATGCCATGCAGTCCGCTAGGCGAAATGGAGCGACCTTATACCCCCATCATGTGCCCGTAAGCCGTAACGCTATAGCGGAAATCTCTGTTGCCTGTGGTTTGGTTGCCTATAAAGTTAACTGCTGCCTCCTGGCTTTCTTCGAACCCCGTCCCTCTCCTCTGCACCCCCTCCTCCAGCTGATGTCGGGTCTGAGTGACACCCCGGTTGGCAACATCTCCACCTCCTGTGTGGATCTGGTGGCCAGGGAGGCCAACAGTACGGCAGTGCTCAACAAGCGGCTGTACTGCGGTTTCGGAGCGGTGAGGCGGGCGGAGGGGGCGGGGGGCGGGGTTGAAGAAGGGAGTTGAAGAAGAGGCGCGGAGGAGGGTTTTGGTTTGGTGGTGTTTGGTGCAGTTCGCTGTGGCGTGGTGCCGCATGCGAGTGTGCTGCGGCCTCCGCCGGGCGCCTCTCCCCACTGACCGGCCCTCACTTGTGATTTGGTTACTTTCTGTGAACCAACCGCCACCCAACCCCCACTCATCCCTCTCCCCGCACATGCCGCATGCCCCCCCCCTTCTCCCCAGGCCCGGTGTGACGGCACCTACTTCACTCGGGAGTACGGGGGGGCCTGGGACTTCAAGCAGCTGGGGCCCACCACGCTGGCGTGAGTGGGGGCGAGGAACCCTGGGAGTGGAGGAGTGGGGCTGTGGGCACTCATGCGAATAGACTTGGCAAAACGAGTCATCTCTGTCTGTGTGCAGGCGTGTACACATGCTGGTCGTGTAGGGCTTCATTCATTCCTACATCATTCATTCCTGCGTCAATTTGCGCCATTTGTCGTTTGCGTTAACGCCATATTATGACAACTTGCGTGCTGCCGTACACCTGCTCCCCCGCCCTGCTGCCCCTCCTCCCCCTCAGGTACGACACGTACTACAATCTGTCCCTGCCGCTGCCGGACAGCCCCGTGACGTACCGCCTGCCGCAGCTGCTCAACATGGCCACTCGGGGCTGGACGCGCAGCTACTGGGGTGGGTGGGTCAAGGGGGGAGGGGGGCAGATTGGCTGGTTGGCTGGTTGTCAGATTGACTGAGCCGCGATAGATACTGACCGTGACCGTACCATACTGGCACCTTCAGAGAATATGACGTGGGCCCCTCCCTCCATTCCTCCTGCTGCTGCCTCTCCCGTTCACCACCGCCCCCTGCCGCCCTCTCACTCTCTTCACCTTCTCCCCCTCACCTCCCCCCAACCAGGCAACCTGCCCATCACCCGCAGCGTCCGCAACCGGCTGATGGGTGTGCAGTCCTTTCCCAAGTTGCCCACCGTCATCAAACTGGACTTCAGCGTGCTGCTGGGGCCGCTGTTCTACACGTGAGGGGGGGGGTGGGCAGTGTCCTGCACGATTGGGGTTGAGGCGGGGGGCGATAGTGGTGGGGGGCATCTGGATGGGGTGGCAGGTGCATGATGGCTCTTGATACCCGTTGTGTGCCATTAACGCATATGATATCATAAGCGTTAGAGCAGTCTGTGGGTTCGCCTGTGCGATACCTGCTTTATGTTTCCGGGAGCCTTTAGGGTCCCATTCCAGCCATTTCGCGCCTTGGCTTGCCCACTGTGACCCACGGGTCGGCCGGCCCAAATTGTTGTTCCCTCTGCATGCAGGTGGGTGATCCAGATGCTCATGCCCTCGCTGCTGCAGCAGCTGGTGTACGAGAAGGAGAAGCGGCTGCGTATGATGATGAAGATGCACGGACTGGGGGACGGGGCGTACTGGCTGGTCACCTACCTGTGGTACCTGATGCTGTGAGTTGTGTACGGTATTCGCGGTTGTGTACGGCATTCGTGTAATCGCCGTTGTGTACGGGGGCGCCATAGGCGGCGTTGTCCGTGCTGCAACTGCCCTTATAGGTTGCCTATGTTGGCATATGTTTCCAGCCCCAAGGTTTGATACGTCCCATGCCGACGCCTCACCCTTTCCTTGACGTTCATCGTCTTCTTCTAACGCATGCTGATGGCCGGAAATATGTCATCCCCGACCCCTCCTTACTCACTTTCCATGCCCCTCACTTCCCGCTTAGATACATCTTATACATGGCGTTCTTCATCTTCTTTGGATCCGTCATTCGACTCAAGATCTTCACGACAAATTCGTACAGTGAGTGCAACATGCCATACTGTGCATGTGCCGTGTTTACCGTATTGCATGTGTGCATTGCCCTAAATAAGGAGAGTTTTCGGACATGAAAATGAGGGAGGAGGGGCGCGGTGGTCATAACGTGGGAGTGCGTCATAACGCCGTCCGTATTCTCCAGCTCCTTCCGTATTCTGTACCATCGCTCCTCCTCCCTTCACCACCACCCGCTACCACCTTCCGCTACCACCTCCTACCATCCCCTACCACCTGCAGGCCTGCAGGCCGTCACCTACTTCATCTTTGGCAACAACATGATCGCCTTCATGTTCCTGCTCTCCTCGCTCTTCACCTCCTCTCGCACCGCCACCATTGCCGCCTTCCTCTACGTCTTCGCCACCGGCCTCATCGGCGAGCTCATGCTGCGCACCCTCATGCAGGAGCGCAAGGGCTACCTAGCGGCGGTGGAGCTGGTGCCCGGGTTCGCGCTGTACAGGTACTTGTACGGCAGGTGTACGAGGAGTAGACGAGGTGGACACCTGGTGCTGCTTAGTGTGACGGTTTGCCGTTGTGTCCGCTGTTGTTCCCGCTGTTATTCCGCTGTGTCAGTTTTTCTTAACACTGGTAGTCAAACGTGTTCATACACACCTGGTGTAAAAAGCGTCTGTACGCTTGTAGGAAGGAGGGGAATCAATCTAGGGCAGGAGGGTGGCAGTTACGTTTAGCCTTCATGACCCTACTCCCGACATACACTGTACCGTATATGGTGTATACCTCTCATAAGCAGCACTCTTCCACGCCCTCTCTCCTGCATCTGCCCGCCCGACCGACCCAGGGGTCTGTTTGAGTTCTCCGAGTACTCCATCCGCTCCATTCTGGGCGACTCGGGCGGCCTCACGTGGGCGCAGCTGGGCGAGCCGGGCAACGGGCTGCGGGGCGCCTGGGCGCTGCTGGCGGCGGAGTGGCCGGTGTTCATGCTGCTGGGCTGGTACCTGGAGCAGGTGGGGGGGCAGGAGGGGAGGGAGGGGGCGGATGGGGGCCGCAGGAGGGAGGGGGCGGATGTGACTTGTGATCACTGGGGTAATGCATGGTTAATGCACGGTTGGGATTACCGGTACTTGGACTTTGGGGGTTTGGGTGTTTAATGCTGTGTGGGGCTGGTGTCATGGATGTCCATCCCTCCATGCTCCGCCTACTGCTTGCAATCCTGCTCCATGCGCCACCACCACCACCACCGCTGCCGCTGCTGCTGCTGCCGTGCAGGTGGTGGGCAGCGGCACGGGCATGCGACGACACCCGCTGTTCTTCATTCGCTGGATGTGGCGACAGGTAGGATGAGTTGCTGCGTTGCTGTTGTTGCTCATGTTCGGCACCACGCTTCAGCTCTTCCCTCCGTGGTGAGGGGTTCATAGCGGTAGGTCTGAACCATTACGCATACATTTGCCTGTGAGTTATGGCGCTATGAGCATGGGCATGCCTTTCCTCATTAGCCCCTTGCGTGTGCGGCACGTTATGGTTGGTAGAGCAGGACGGTGTTCCAGGCATGTCATGCACGAAGTCTGTAGTGACAACCAACCCATCTGCATGGGCACGCACGGTCGCCCTGCCGGACTGTCTCCTTTGGTAAAGCCGCTAAAGCATGCGATCCTCCCTCCCTCGCTAACCCTTTCCCCCTGCAGAAGCCCTGTGTAGGCAAAGCGGAGGCCCCTGCGGCTGCCGCTGCCCCTATCCCCTCCTTCACTTCTGCCGCTGCTGCCGCTGCTGCGGACTTGAGCCGGGGATCCACCGTGAAGGTGGGAGCATCCGCCACCTCCTCCGCCGCCGGTTCTCCCAACGCTGGTAGCGCCGGTGGCAGCAGCACTGCGGCTGTCGCAACGATAGCCACGGCGGCGACGGCAGGCCAGAAGGAGGGTCTAGCGGCGCCACTGGACGCGGTTCTAAGAGCCAATAGCGGCAGCGCTGCTACCGGCGACCGTATTCCCGCCGCCGCCGACGTCGCAGAGGTCAGCTCTCCGCCAGCACTCGAGAATGGCAACGGGGCTGACGTCACTACCGATACGACGACGACGGCGAAGGCGGTGGCGCCGCTTGAGTCTGTTGTCGTACGTGGTCCGGGTCCGCTGGCGGAGGCGACGGAGGACGACGGCGCCGCTGATTTCCAACCACCGGAACCCGGACATCCCGGCGGCGATGGCGGTGTGGGTGATCATGTTGCCTTACAAACGGTTGCGGTTGTAGGTACCTCCGCTAGCGGCAGCGGCGGCGGCGGCCCTGGCAGCAGCGGCGGCGCCGCCGTCAGCCCGAGCGGCATCAGCGTCATCAGCAGTCAACGGTACGGATCCGGTACAACGCCGCCGTCACCCGAAAGCCCTATCCTGCAACGGAGCCGGAGCTCCGAAGCCAACAATGACTTCCCACGGGACGGTGAGGGGAGTACGGCAAGTTCGTCGTCCTCGACGTCGAGTAATGAAACACGCGTGAAGGTGCACCCTGAGCCATCGCCGTCAATGGCAACTGTGGCGGCGACGTCAGAGGGGATGCTGCCGCAAGCAGCGGTAATGCTGGCATCAGCAACACGGGTGTACGGCAATGGATTGGAACCCGTTGTTCCTTCGTCGCCGTCGTCAGCAGCGTCGGCGGCAACCTTGCCGAGGCCTAGTGTCGGCGGAGGTGGAGGCAGCGGCGGAGGCGCCGCCGCCGTCGATGGCGACGGTTGTATACCGTTGGGCGACACAGCCGCTGCCGCAAGCCCTTGCACTACTCCACCTGAGGTGATAACAGTAGAGGCTTCTACTCGCAAGGGTGACAGCAGCGCTAGCACTCGCAGCAGCGGGAGCAACGACAAAAACGGCAGGGCCAACACGACAGTCAGCGCAAGCAGCATCGGGCTCGTTCTAAACACCGAGGACCCGCCTGACGTGGCGGCGGAGGCGGCGCGAGTGGCCGCGATGGACGACGCAGCGCTGGCGGCCACTCCGATTGTCGTGCAAGGCTTGCGGAAGGAGTTCAAGGCGTACGGCGGCGAGGGCGGGCGTTTCTGCGACGGCTGCCTGGACTGGCTGCTGTGCAAGGGATCCAGCAAGCGGTTGGCGGTTAGAGATCTGACGCTGGCGATTGAGCGAGGGGAGTGCTTCGGACTGCTGGGGCCCAATGGAGCGGGTGAGTGGGAAGGAGGGGGCCGGTGAATGCCCAGACCGGAACTCCCAAACTGCCTTTAAAGGAGTTGACGTTCCCGGCCCAGTTCCTCATCCTAAATTACCCTAATCCCCCCTACTCCGACCCCTCTGCTTACTGCTCTGTCTCCTCTCTTCTTTACCCCCTCCCCTCCCACAGGCAAGACCACCGCCATCAACATGCTGACCGGCTTCCTGGAGCCCACCGCGGGAGATGCGGCGGTGGAGGGACTGTCCGTGCGCACCCGCATGCCCGAGATCTACTCTCTGATGGGCGTGTGTCCGCAGCACGACCTGCTGTGGGAGCAGCTGACGGGCGAGGAGCACCTGCGCTTCTACGGCAGGCTCAAGGGGCTCAGCGGTGGGTGGGAATAGAGGAAGGTTTGGGTGGCTTTGGGGGAGGGGGTAAATTGACGTTAGCTATTCCGCATTGGGCTAGAGTATAGGATTGGGGAGTATCAACTATCAAGGAGTGACGGGTGTACCCATGAGGGGGCCCTGAGAAGAGCATATTCCCCGCTTGCTGATGGCCCTCCGCCGCTACCAATTCCGTTGCCCGCTGCTAGGCCCTGCCCTGGAGGAGGCGGTGGCAGCGGCGCTGCGCTCTGTAAAGCTCCACCTGAACGACGCGGGCAAGCGGCGTGTGAGCGGCTACAGCGGCGGCATGAAGCGGCGGCTGAGTGTGGCCATCAGCTTCATCGGGCAGCCGCAAGTGGTGTACCTGGTGAGGCAAGGGGGAGGAGGGAGGAGGGGAGCGGGTATGCATGGAAGAGAAGGAGGTTTGGCCTGCCAGCCTACCTGCGCATTCCGGTACATGATGTGCGCCGAAACCTGGCTGCACCCCAGCAACAACCAGCATTAGCAGCACCCAAGGATGCACCGCCAGCCGTCCGAAGCGCGCCTTGCATGCGCATGTGGGGGCCAAGCAGCACCACACCACCATGAAGCATGCCGCCACCTCCCTGTCCCGCGCCTCCTTTCTTGCTTCTCTTCTTCATCACTCCTCTCCCCTCCCCCTTCCCCGCATGCTGTCTACAGGACGAGCCTTCCACGGGTCTGGATCCCGCCTCCCGACGAGCCCTGTGGGACACAGTACGGAAGCACAAGGACGGGCGAGCCATCATCCTCACCACCCACAGCATGGAGGAAGCGGAGGTGCTGTGCGACCGCTTAGGAATCTTCGTGGGCGGTCGGTTGGTGTGTATCGGCAATCCGCGCGAGATCACGTCGCGGTACGCTGGGTACCTGGTCTTCACGATCACGGTGGGTCCGGGCCATGAGGACGCGGCGCAGGCGTTTGTGAAGCGCATGAGCCCGCACGCGCGGCTGACGTATGCGCTGGGCGGTACGTTCAAGTACGAGCTGCCCACCAGCGACGTGAGCCTGGCGGGCGTGTTTGACGCCATGGCATCTGCCAAGGGGCTGATGCAGGTGCTGGACTGGGGGGTGGCTAACGCGACGCTGGAGGAGGTGTTTATCAAGTTTGCACGGCAGATTGGCGCAGAGACCAAGGACCAGTAAGGAGTTAAGGACCTGTGCGTGAAGATGAGTGGTGGGGAAGAATGGAGGTGCGGGTTGTACGGCTTGTGCCGGTTATGGTATTTCAGAGGCGTGTGCCACCGGGAGGGAAAGTCACAATCCATTGTTGAAGAGTTGACGTACATATGTCATATGTGGGTTGGCAACGGTGTGTTAAGGAAACTGGCCGCAAGTCGGAAAAGGTGTGTATAAGATACACGTGCTGGGTTTCAATTCTTGCTGTTCGGACATAATATGTTGGGTTCACGGACGTGGAGTTGGCTGGCGGTTGTGTTGGGCTGTGGGAGGGGGTTGGGCCGTACCAATGCCTTATTTGGGTTATTTCGCAACTGTCGTGCCGAGAGTGTTTCATTGGGGCACGCGTGGTCAGTTGTCTAGCGGCGATGATAGTGGATGGTGGCACGGTAGCTCCCTGATCTAGTTTATCGGTTAATTACATCAATCCAGATTTAGCATGTGGTTTTTGGTACTTTTGAGTGCGCGTCTTAGGGCCCTGTGAATGGGATTAGAGCCTGCGTGCGATAAGCTGCTCATAAAATCACATCTGCGCAACGGAAACGTTGTACGGCGAAGTCCCTACCACGGTCTGTGCGAGCGGACTCACCGGTTTCCCCTCTTCCTGCCATCTCATTCACTCGTGCCTGATTGGTGGTATTGTGGATATACCATAAATCCCCTCGAGAAGGCGGGGTATTGCATTACTACGTGCGCGTTGAATCGGACTGCAGGCTTTCGTTTGCCCGACGTAGTGCCGCAAGCCCTTGATGGTTTGGTGAGAAGGCTTTGGCAAGGAAACACACGGCGGTCTTGTTGCTGATACTTACCGCAGTATCCGTAGTTGATGGCGGTGGTTGCCGCTTGCTTTGGAGTCGTTTGCAGGTGTTCAGTTTCCGCAAGCCGGCTGGTGGCTTTGGTGGCCTGTGTGCGCCCTACTGCATCCGTGATGTCGGCAGTAGGTTTAGAGGAGGGTTATATTCTTTCCATGGACTGCAACAGTATAGATTATTAGTCCGGGCAGCATCGTAGCACGGCAGAGCTACCCATTCAAAAGACTGCAAGGTTCCGGATGGGTGATTGCCGTATAAGTGGCGTAGCGTTTACATGAAAGGCAAGTCAAGGCTTTGGATCGGGGGGAGTGAAACTTGAACATTTTGCTCGCTGCGTATTGCATGTCGGCATCTTCTGGTCGTAAAAGGTTCTCTGCGTTGTGTTTCTTACCACCACAAGTTAGGCTAGCTGTTTAGCTGGGAATGTTGTCCTACGCCGTTAGTCATTGTCACACCGTGTTGGCCCTGTGTTGGTCCTTCACCATGATGGGTAGGATCTCCGTACACTGCATATGCACGTACATTTCCCACGCTAAACGCAAACGCCTGCAAAGAGGTTACATGGCTGTCGTATTGCTTATTGTATTGCTAGCGCTGTGCTTAGATAATCCTTGCGTTGTGTTACCGGTGGCGGAATCTTTGTGTAGGTGATGAGGCGTGATGGGTGCGGAGCTGTACGTTGCTGCCTAGTGCAGCATGTCCTTGCGATGCGCCATGTGACGATTGCCTCATGTAGACCGGTTACGCAGCTTCTTCGCCGGTTCGGCCGTGTTCACGCTAGCGTGGGGGCTGTCGCGGGTTCGGGTTCAACCATGCTCAACCGTGCATTAATGGAGCCTGTTGTGCCCAAGGAGCGTGCAACTACGGACAACCCCTCTAGTGGTAGGTGAAGCACTCAGGGCATCACTCCCCTTTCGCGGAGTTTTCCAACCCAAGGCGGACCGATGCAGACCGTACACACGCCAGCTGCCCTCGTGCAAGGCTAGCGGAGAGGGATGTGACATGTGAGTGCAGGCAGACCGCCTTCACCATGGAAACGGAATGAAGATTCAGCAGCGGCCCAACGTCCTCTTGGGTCCAGCGTGGCTCGTAACGGCAGCCGCTCGACCAGCGCGTCGGGGCAGATGGGGCCACCAACCCATGCTCCCCTCCACGTCTGGTCCGTCTTGCAGTATGCTTGTCGGTAATGACGAGAAGGTCACGATGGACAGACACCCCAGCAGGCTCGCCAAAGCACAAGAAGGCGAAGGACATGCCCCCACCATACCGCCACCTTTCACAATCTCGCGAAGTCCCGCGCCTCTGCAATCCGCAATCCACATGCACCACTTACACGCCGCAGAATGTAACACAGCATAATCGCATCATGTCCCATGCCAAGCCCCGAAACGGCATGAGCCTCCCTACTACAACAGCCACCTAGCTTCATAGTCCATGACTAACTATTGGTGAACCAAACCTGCGTTTCAGCACCTCAAGACAAGCTACCTCATCCTGCGTTTCTTCTTTCTTTCTGGGGCCTTCCACTCTTATGCTTCATGCCCTTCCCACGTGCGCTTGAAACCCTCTCCTGTCTAGGGGGATCGGTCCCATATCTCACGCCCCAAGCCACTCCACAAACCACAATGCCCTAGGTCCCCAGCATACCGCCGTACCCGCCACCGCCGCTCGCCCACAACCCCACGCCACGCCAAACCAACAATCCCTTCATGTGGATTCCAATAGATGGTGGTAAGAAACGGGCTTCACTAACAGCGGCCTGACTAGGGGGACACAACCTGTAGCTCGGCCAGACCTTGCAGCCACTCCTACATCACAGACAAACTGTGCGAGCTGCGAGGCATTCCACCATCCACATGCAGAATACGGAACTGCGCGTGGAGCTCTCTTGTAGGCAGAGGGTAGCTGCAATGCCCGGCGGCAACGATGTAATACGTGGCTTCGTTGCCGGTGCCGATGACCGTGCTGATACCGCACATGATTCCACCCGGAGGCGGCCATGGCCCTTCTGGTTGGGTGCATCCACGTTCGTACGGAGGCTGAGAGGGTATTGTGGGGGCTGCAGGGACGCGGTGGTGTGTCACCGGTCCTCAGCAGGTGCGAGTACGACAGACCCCTCGTGTACGGCAATCACAGACATGAGGGGCCGACATGGTTGCCCTCGAGCAGCGGGAGCAGGGTTGGCAGGCCCCTGCGGTGGGTGCGAAGAGGAGGAGCGCAGGAGCAGTGCATGTGAGGAGTTCAGGTCAAGCTGATGAACAAGAGAATGAGGGGGGGATGCTTGGCGGGGCCGCTGACACAGCTGCCTCAACTGCGTCATGCACACCCCCGACCGCCGCTCAGGTCTCCACCTGGCCCCAGGCTGCCTCACCCATGCGTCATGCACACCCCCGACCGCCGCTCTGGCCCCAGGCCGCCAGCCAGGCACGCTTCATGACAACAGCAGCAGCCTCATGCGGTAAGCAGCATCATCCCCGCACCATGCCACCAAACCCCTCCCTAATCCCTACGCCACCTGCGAGGGGTTTCCGCTTGCCGCATTTGCCCTTCGAAGCGCCGCTGCCGCCGCTGCTGCTGCTGCAGGACTCCGGCCCGTCGTTCGGCATGCACCCCCGCCCCCGCCCGCAGACTGCTGCTTCCCGGCCGCCCCTGCTGCCGCCGCTCCAGCAGGCCCAGCTGAGCCGATGGCTGCTGCCGTGGTTGCTGTTGCGGAGCCTGCGGAGGCCTCGTCTACAAACTCGTTCGCAACGTCCCCGTGAGGGTCTTGCCGCTGTCTGGCAGCGTACCAGGATAGCCCCTGTAAGGTGCAGTGGGTGCGGAGGAAGCGCACGGAGGGTGTGACTGGGTGATGGTGGTGGTGGAAGTATGGGGTCGAGCCGGACATGGGGCCAAGGCCAGGAGGGGCAGATGGGCATGGTGACCGTTGAAGTGATGCCGGGACAGTCTGCTGGTGTGGCTTCTAATGACGCAGTCGGCCGGATATGATCTGGGTTGCTTTGGTTGGCGTGCAAGCGCTAAAAAAGGGTGTAGCCAACCGGACTTAGGGCGGGAGGCTGGCGAGCGTGATCTGGGTCGCGACGTCAGTGTTGTCCTTATGTTCACCACATCCCTAGCTCTCACGACACTGTATGCGGTCATAACAAATCCTGTTCCAGGAAGGTCGCTTTGATTCGTACTGGAACAAACTTATATGTAAGTCCCACAAAATCGGCGTTCTGCGGGTTCCTACCCTTCCTAGCCTATCCACCATGCCACCCACCCATCCATCCCGAACGCTCTCAAGGTTCCTGGAGCCATACCTGCACGCCACCACCGTGCGGGCTGGTGGCTTCTCGTAGCACCGGCTCCTGTTGCAGCACGCCACCGGTGCTATGCTTGCCGCTTGCGTGACCCGAGCGTGGTCGGTCCCGAGGTGAGGAGTGGGGCTTGCCCCCTCTACTGCTGGCCTGCTGCTGGTGAGAAGCCCTGTCGTCTTCTTCATCGCTACTGCTCTCGCCCTACGCAAATAGCACGGGACGACTAGTCAGGATGCGCCGAGCAATGTCAGCACAGAGCACACGTAGGACTTCCTCTGACCATTCTCCAGCCACGTTGATAAACTTACTCCAAAGAAAAATGTCTTGACTTTATTTAGGAAGTTCATGCTCTAGCTCTGGAAGCAAAGCCGTTGGAACCTTACAGGGTGTTGGAAAGCGTAACGTCCTTCTAAAACCCAGTATTCTGCAATTACGGCATCACTCTTCGGTGCTCCTAACAGCCGTGCTTCGGGGTCATGCACGCGTTTCACGTACTCGCCAACGCAGTAACCTCCCTTCCACTTAGGTAAATTAGTGTATAACGCAGCTAGTACATTGTCGCTTAAGATCAGAAAGGCGCCTTGTTAATGGGTAGTCATCTGGTCGGTCGTATTGGAACCAGGCTTTCGAATTGCTGCGATGGAAAAGAGCAGTACCCCAAGATCGACAATTGTTAACACGTGTTTGTTACATGCTACGTCGCGAATACGATTAGCTCCTAAACAATTATAACTGGGCGATCCCCGGTGCGCCCCTTATCTTCTTCATCCTGTTCGATTTAGGCCCACGTCCTGAATGTGTATCGCAAATTAACATGACATCAACTGCTTACAGCTATGTTGAGCAACTGATTTCACATCCTTGCGAGGGTGCGGAAAGCGCAGCATGCGAAGCCTTGGCGCAACTAGGCGCACGCAACCGCGCGGGCGGTCAAGCAACCCAAAGAGATGCGTGTTGTATCGGAGATATGTATGTACGCGCTATCGCACAGATGAGGCCGCCGTCGTGACGCCAGGGGTAAGCAGCGATGACCGCCGCGCGGCCTTCGCACAACCCTAACAATTATGAAAACGGTTTCGTGCATCCAGACGCAGCATGCCGCTTGTCCGCTGGTGACAGTCGAGGTATTGGCGCTGTCGCAACTCTCGCGACCCGGAGGTCCAACGGGTGGCGAGCCGTTGCAGACGCTTCCGTCCATAGCATCAACAAACCATGCCTCCCAAGTCCTAGAGGCAATAACTCAGACAGCGCGCGCCCTGCTTGCCTCTGGCCGCGATGCAAGCAGCCCAGTCGTGAGCAAAACTACCAACGTGCAGGTAGGGGGAGCAAGGGGACCCGCGCCCCCTGCGTTGGCTCGAGCAAAGACCCTTTCCAGGACCCCAGCCTTGGCCGTTGGGCCATGGATTGCTTACCCCGGGTGTTCCGCTGCACCTCAGGTGGTATTTCAGGATGGCTACGACAGGCTGTCCTCACTGCTGCAGGTAACGAAATATACCAGTACAGCAAAGCGTGGCTTGTGTTGAACACTTTGGACGTCGAGTTACAAGCTTACAACGCAGAGCTGTAGTTCGGTGCCCAACGATGCCGCAAACATGGCATTTTACGACAATCGCTCCGCCATGTACCATGCAATTGCCTCCCCCTCCTCCTGCACACACCTCGTGCCACGCAGGCCCTCCCGCAGTGCCATGACGCCTACTCCCCCGCCGCCGCCATTCCCTCCACATGCGTGACGCTTTTCCACACCCACAACACTCTGATCCAGGTAACCACTTTACCCGCATCGTGGCTAGCATGCTGCATGGGCGTCCTGGCACCCCCCATCCTGCCTTTGCAGCGCACCTCCACCATTCCATCCATTTGCGTGGTCTACGCAACAGGAACACACACTCACATGGTTGCACCACCTCGTGCGCTCTCAATGCCCAATCCCAACCTCCCCAAGGACCCCCAACCCAGTACTCAACACACGGGCGTCTACCGCCTGCTTAGGAACACCTTGGGACCCCAAGTCCTGCGTCTTCTTCCTCGCCTTTTCCCCCGGCTTGGGGCCCCTGCAGGCTGCCCATGACAGCCAGCAGCAGGACATGGACGTGTGGACGGATCTGATGTCGGCCGCGCTGGGACTGTACCTACTGCGGGCACCGCGGCGCCTGCTGGCGTTGCGACCCACGGGTCATCTGGACCAGGCGGTTGCGGCGCTGTCCCGGCAGGACCTGTGGGGGCTGCAGCGGCTGCTGTGGGAGCGGTTGGGAGCGGGGCTGACGGAGTGGGAGGACATGCAGGTGGGGGCGGTGCTGGCGGTGGTGCATGCACAGGTGGAGGAGATGGAGGTCCGGCTCCCGCTTTTGATCTCTCTTCTGGGGGGCACCTTGATGCTGCTTGTTCTCCTGCTTACGAAGACCCCTTCTGTTCTCGCTTCCTACCGCCCTCAGGACCTCCTAAGCATCGTGCCAGCCTGTGAGCAACAAGCGAGGGCAGCAGCAACAGCCGCCGCAGCTGCGGCTGCCACAGCATCTGTTGCGGCTCCCGCCCCGGGTACCTATGTAGTAGCAAATCATACAGCAGCAGCAGCGAGGACGCATATGGCTGCTGGGGCTGCTGCTCCTCCTTTCGGTACTGCTGCTGAGGCTGGCGCTGGTAGCTCGCCCGGCTCCGCTGCGTCCTTACCGCTTGGAGGTGTCGGTGGTGGTGGTGCGCCCCATGCTTGCAGCAGCCCCTGCGGTTGCGGATGTGGAGTCTGCGGTGGTGGCAATGGTGCGGAAACATGCGACCGCCACCACCGCCAGCGCGCATCGTCGTCAGCAGCTGCCGCAGCAGCACTTCTACCACAATCAAGAACAACAACAACAGCAACAACACCAGGAGCAGCATCTCCGACGCTGAGTTGCCGTGGAAGCTGCGGATCGCATGCGGTTCCTCCGTCCAACGCCCCGGGGGGCACGCACTTCAGCCACCAATACGAACGCCAGCAACGGCAGAAGCGACAGTCCCCAAACCACCACCTCCCATACCCGGCTCACCATACACCCCACCATCCCCACCACTCCAGCCTGCCACAAACCCCAACCATAGCGCCGTGCGCGCCTAACATGCCCCAACCACCCATCCCAACCACCTCCTCTTCCTCGCTCACCATTGCACCCCCAACCCCAACTTCAACCCCAACCCCATTATCCTCCTCCCCATCTCCAACCATGACGTACCACCACCTCGCCTCACAACCAAACTGTACTGCAGCACCAACAGCAACCACCACAACGACCTTGTACGACAGCCGCATCACCGATTTCCCCCAGTACGGCAGCCTAATGTCCTCCATCATCCGCGGCGCCCTGCAAACCGCAGCACGCAGGGGCCTGTCCGCCTCGCCTCAGCCCAACCTAGCAGCCAGGCAGCTGCTTAGCACGGCTACGGCCTTTCAGGCTCGGCAGCGAGAGCCATCTGCTCCGGTTGCGCTGCGGCATGCGTTTGTTGCGGATCTTGAATGGCTCAATCTAGTTGCTGCGGCGGGAGTGGGGACGCCGGTGCAGGGGGAGCTATGCTTGGGGGCAGCGGAGGAACAGGTGGGGGGCTCGCAGAAGCAGCTACAGGGTTGGGAGCAGTGGACGTCGTCTCACCAGCGGCAGCAGCAGCAGCTGCAATGCAAGCCTTGTTTGTTGGATGCCGAGGGGGTGGTAGCGCTGCTGCGGGACCTTAAAGCACTAGCGCCGAAACCGCTGCCATTGCCGTCGGGGGGCGGCAGCAGGGACGGCGGAGGCGGCTATGGAGGCGCGGCAGAGGGAGGGTGGGTCAGCGGAGCGGGGAGTCCTCCCCTTCATCGGTGGCTGCGGGGGAGGGGGCAGGCCGCTGTGGAGGCGGCGGTGGTGCGCCATGCAAGCAGCGGGGCTTGGACCCCGGGGCAGGTGGCGGCCGTGGCGAAGGTGGGCTGCTGCGGATGGTGGTGGTGGTGTTGGTTGGGTTAGCGCGTCTGAGCCGCGAGGAAAACACTGAACCGTGGTCGTGGTGGTCTAGTGCAACTAACCGGCGATGCGTGTGGCAACGAACTCATGCAACGGTCAGGGGTGGCAGGGTGGGTGGCTGGGCGGCACACCCCATCTTGTTGCCTGGCCAGGTCCTGGTCGGTCGCTGCAGCACACCGTATCGATCACTGCACCACACCTCTTAACATGCCCACCTACTTAATGGGCGTTGAGGTTTTGTTGCTTCACTGCTTCTCCTTTTCCTTTACCCATATTTGTTCATTTCCTTACCCACCTTCGTGCCCTCCTGAATGTCCCGCTACAGGCCCTGGCCGGCTGCTGCTCCCGGCCGCCCGGAGGCCCGCTGTGCAGCTGCATGGAGGATGTGTTGCTGCTGCTGGGGGGACCTGGCGGCGAGGGGCGGGCGGGGGATGACCTCGACCTCATCTGCACGTTACTGCAGGTGGGGAAGCGCGCAGGGTTTGGCGGCGAATGGCGCTCCGCATGTCAGGACACAGGAGGAGGGCTGCAGACGGGATACCGGTACACATGGGCTGCTTGGGAGTGTGTCTGTTGTACTGTTGTTGCGGAGGGGTTCACTGCTTGGGCTGCATGGCTGTCGTAACCCACCTAACGCACCTAGCTCTGGGAGGCAAGCATGTAACGCTAGGCCGTGTCGCTCCGCCCCTTACCGGTGACAAGTTGGGGCCCCTGCGGGTGCTTGCGTCCCCACATCCACACAGGACGCGCTGGATTTGACACCCCTTGGCGTCACCCTCAGCGGCAGTGGAACTGTCAGCAGCGGAAGTAGTAGCAACACCAGCGGCAGCAGCGCCTCCCCCTCCTGCTCCCCCTCATCTTCCTCCCTCACATCCGCGTATTCCGCACTTAGCCGTACAGCTCTGAATCGCGCCAGCTGCCTCGTGGGTGCCTTTTGTGCAGAGGCCGCAACAGCTGCCGCATCTCCAACCGCCGCCGCCGCAACTGCTGCAGCTGCCTCTGCTGCAATGGCCAACGGTCACGGCCATGCACATGCTTGTACAGTTGGGTCCTCTGGCCTGACCCATGGGTCACGAGGTGGCGTATTGTGGGGAAGCAAAGAGTTCATGTTTGAGCGGTATCCGCTGTTGCTGCACGCGGCGCGACGGTTCGGCTACCCGCTTCAGGTAACTGGGTTGCTGGGCGTGGGAAGGCTAAGAGCGAAGGGCATGCAATTACCAGAGACCTTCCCGTATGCTATCTTTGAACCAGGCATTCGTCTCTGCCCGCAAACGGCCATGGAATGGGTTGTTGGCCTCCGCAGGCTCTCCGGCTGTACGACTACGCAGATGGGTTGCAAGACTTCCTGGCCACGGCACCAGGTAAGGGTGCAGCCGGGTCACGGCGAAGGCTGGGACTTGGGAGTGCTCCCCGCGTGTACGATACGTATAGTCCGGACAGGTCCGTTCACATAATCAATAGGGCCGCTCGCCATAACCTCTTGTATCCTTTGTTGCCGCCCTGCCCCAGAGACTTCGCCCTCTTCCTCGCTCTCTCTCATGCAATCTGCCTCCCACCTGTTCTCCTTGACTCTCCCCATCCCCAACCAGCTCACCCAAGCCCATGCAACCTACCTAAACCTCCATCTGCCCCTCACCTCCTTCCCCCTACCCGCGGCATCCGCACAGGTCACGAACTTGCCTCCCTGGGACCCGAGGGCCTCGCCCGCGTCCTCACAGCCCTCGCCTCCATATCCTGTTGGTGCTGCCGGGACCCCCACTGGGCCGCGGCCTTTGAGCGCGCCTGCCTCTGCCTGATAGCCGTACAATTCGATCTGGGTTACACGCACCCAGATCGCTGGTTGGGGTTGCTGCGGGCCACGGTGCAAGCGCTGCCGTACCCCCTACCCGGTCTGGCTGCGGCCATGAGGTCACTGATGGTACGGCTGTGCGACGTACGGCGGTACGGTTCGTACGTTTGGGAGTTGCTGCCGTTGGTGGATGTGTTGGAGCGCAGGGCAGCTTCGGCGGCGGGGAAAGGGACCGCGTCGGGAGGGGTAGTGGGCTCCTCCATGCTACCAGCAGGACGCCAGCAGCAGCAAATGCGGGCACAGGTGTGCGGACAGGGCTCATCAGCAGGCAGGACCTACAACCGCAACCACAGCATCCGCAGTAAGCACACCAGTGTCAGGAGCTTTGGTAGCACGGCAGCTGGTGGTGGGGTTGCTGCTGCCGCTGTTGCTGCGGGGGGAAGCCCCTATCGTTGGCAGCGGACGGCTGGGTACCCGGCTGCCGGCAGTGGGCAATCGAGTAGCGGCAGTGGCAGCGGTGGAGTACCGGCAAGCGCACGCAAGGGCACTGGAAGCCAGGTTCCTTGCCGGTGCTTGTCGCCCCCGCCCGACCTGTCCTCCCACCTGGTGTCAGATGAGGAGTACGGCCGCTGGCTAGAGGAGGCGGGTCGGGTGATTGCGGGGAGCATGGTGGGCTGGTCGGAAGGGCGGTTGCGGGCGCGGTTGGTGGGGCTGGGTGTGGGCTGCGCGGGCGGTGCATGCGAGGGAGCAGCGGGAGGGGAAGCAGGTGTTAGGGCTGCTGGGGGGAAGGCACTTGTGGCTGCTGCAGGGGCGGAAGCTGGGTGATGGGGGGCAGCTGGGGGTTATAGGAGGATTTAGTGAGAAGCTGGGGACTGCGTGCTGGTTGTTGACTGACGTAGGGCTGAGCTAGCAGCGTGGGTCTTTTATGTGATCCGGCAGGGATGTATCGTACCCGGCATTTACTGTGCGTCAATGCGTGGTGTTCTCACCCACACTGAGGCAAGTTGCCATCGGGCGTGCAGTCTAGGGCGTGTGTTTTAGGTCATCAATCGTGCTTTCCACATGAAGCGGTCCCGTACCTGGTATACATGGTGCTTTGCGGGGAACGTGCGTGCATGCTTGAAGGGGGTTTCTCGAAGCGTGCATATACATGCTCGCAATTACGGCGCGCTTGCGTTGATTCATTATATGGGAGCGGACGAATCGAAGATTGACGGGTGGTTGCAACGGTTACCTGCCGTTGTAACGCTGGTTTAGGTCAGGGCGGGGGAAAGCTATAGGCAGCGAAGCATGCGAGCCGCTGCGCGTGTCATATAGCCGTTACTGTTGCAAACCCTCAGGCGCGACTAAGCAGGGCATGTCGGCAAGCAGTTCAAAAGCGCAGGTTAGGAGTGTATTTGTGACTTGGAGGACAGTTGTCAGTTGCAGGGGTGTGGGTTGTGACTAGGACGTGCATCTGACTTGCATGGAAGCAAACTGCGCCAACACGCGAGCAGGGGGACTGTCCCAATGAACGGAGCGCCGTACCGTACATGGTCGGTGGGTAACTTCCCGCCTGGCACGTAGGCAGATACCGGTAGGGTTGTACGTCGCATTTGAGGCGTTCTGACTCCTCTGTAATCCTCGCTTACTGGCACGGCAGTTAACCCGCCATGTGTGACACGTGCTCATTTTAGCGTGGGGGCGTGGTGCAGACGCTTAGGGTAGAAGGAATTGGGAAGCCTGTAAGCGGAACATGTCGGCGAACCTAATGTGTCAGTCCTAATCGGGGTGTCCCGTTGCGCCTTGAGCTTTACTTACATATGCACGCAAGGCGCAACCTCGAATGCTTGCTATTTTGCGCCGCCTGCTTCACCATCTCGTCTCGCGCCATCACCACCGCAGCCGCAGCATGTCTTATTGCCACGCATTGACGCCTCCTTTCACCCACGCAATAGCCAACAAGGCCCTGCTGGATTCAACCTCTTATCCAGGACCGTCTACACCGCAAACCACGTTGGGCACGCGTCCGCGCTGCAAAGCTACGTCATGACATGCCCAACGCTACAACATTGCCGCCCCCCTGCTACCACGTCTAGATTAGAACGGATCAGGGCGGCGTGACTGATCCTGTGCACCAAATCGAAAGCGCAATGTATCCAGTGGAGCCATCGACGCCCGTATTAGAGGTTTAGAGCCCTATCGTACCAAAGCCTCTCTCACGCGCGCAAATGAAAAGCTTATTACGTTTTCACTAAGCCAGGTGGCAGCATGAGACCTGTCCCTGACTGCTGGTAGCGTCCAAGCGTCGCCCCGTACTTGCTGACGGCAGCACACGGCGGCATGCACTTGTTCAACCCCCCCAACCCCCCACCACGTTCGCAGCCCGCCTCCTCCCGCCTTCTACCCATGCAAGGGTTAGCAGCGCACACGCTCGCGCTAACAGGGGCCCGCTTTTGCTACCCAGGGAGTGGTGCACTGGCAATGCGACACCCCACACCCGCCTAGTTTACATCCTACTGACTAAGCCGTCTTTGCCTTGCAGCGGAACAAGGCGAGACCGCCAGTGACATTCTCACCAAGCACAGCGTCCTCACTTATGTACATATTTTGTCCAAAACGTCAACCAACAGCCAGGCTACTAACCGTCATGCTGGCCCGCTCCAGGTAAGAGGACTGCGCGGCTCTTGCACCGCGTCCTGCCCGACTCCTGCCCAATGACCCCCACATGGGCCCCCAAGCCCACCCCAGCAAGGCCCCTTGCCCCTTCCTCCCCCTGTCCTCCCCCCGCACAGAAGGCCGAAGAAGGCCAGACGCCCCCAGGCAACCCCTAGCGCTTTAGGGGTCGCAAGCAACAGCGTTCGATACGCTGACGCCGTTAGGCACCGCCGCGTGCCCCTCCTTCAATGCAAAGCCCCACTAAGGAACCGCAGATACTGCACACCTGCCAGAGCCGAGAACAAGACCTCCTCCCCCGCCGTACGCCTTCCATCCAACTAGGCCTTTCCCGTACCCTGAGCCATTACCCAGCCATTCACACCACTGTCTCTGGTGACCGGGCGCGCCTGCCTTCAGCAGGACCTCCTCACTAGAAGTTGTTATCGTCGTCATCATCGTCCTGGATGAAGTGCCCGCCGTCGTCGTCGTCCTGGAGGGCCGGGTGGCGAGGGTGCAAATTAGAGGTTGGGACAAGGTTGGCCCAAAAGACAAGGCAACAACCGCTTTACCAGGGCAATTAGTTACCGGTAACAAAACGTAAGCCGTCAGGGGGCCCGCCACGCAACGAGAGTTACCATGCATGCGCCTGCTCCCCTCCCACGGAAACCCCACAAGCACCCACCATGGCGCCGTTCATGTAGCCCCCTTGGTCGTAGCCGTAGCCACCAGCGCCGTAGCCAGCACCGCCGCCGTAGCCTCCACCCGAGTCGGAGCCCGCCCGAGACACGTCACCGCCGTCCGTGTTATCGTCTTCGTCGATTGACGCCTCATCCTCAAAGTCGCCGTCCAGGTTACCCATGACGTTTCCTTGCTGCAGGGCGGCAGGCGAAAGTAGCACAGCAGGCTATCATCATGCGGTGAAGCAAGGGTTATAGCATGAACGGGCCAATGCAAGGAGCATGATGGAGGACAGCAAAAGGACAAGTCACCCCTCACAATGCTCTCCTGGACAATAGCGTCCAGCCCTGCAAGACGTATGCGATAGGATAGACAGGGTACCAGACACGCAAAGCAACGCCAAAAGCACCCGATGTTTACCCCTTGCGCCAACCGTAACCGACCCAAAACACGACACAGGTGGCCACCTCCTCCCCAACGCCGAGGCTTCCGACCCACACCCCGCCACCACCACCGTCATCACACATGCACCCGCCAACCCACCCCACCCGCCTCACCTGCCGCGGCTGCTGCCGTACCGCCCCTCCCTGGCCCGCCTGCTGCCCGCCGCGTCGCATGGTGCCCTTGGAGCCCGAGTAGCCGCCGCCCGCGTCATCGTCCGCGTCGTCCTCCTCGTCGCCGCCCTCCTCCGTCAGGTCCTCCTCATCCTCCTCGTCGTCATCGTCGTCGTCGAAGTTCATGTTGGCCTCGTCCACCTCCTGCTCGCCGCGCAGGATGCGCAGCTCCTCCTCCCTGGAGAGGACAGGGGAGGAGGTGGTGGTGGTGAGGGGCGGAGAGAGGCTTTTTGCGGTTAGGATTGTTGGTTAGGAGCAGTGCGCTTTCGGTCGGTCGGTAACAGAGGCAACGGCGGTGGGGATGACGGCTACTGCCCTGTAACAACTACTACCGGTTTGCACCCGGCATGCGCTCGTCATGTGTGGGTGGAGCGGTGCTTCCTTTGTCAAGTTAGGTCCCCAGTTGCACGGTTGGTCACCTTCGCCTTTACCGCTCCCCAACACCGCGCCTCCTGCACCCCTTCTTCTCAGCTCCTCCCCGCCCCGCCCCATCCTCGGACCCACTCCGCCGCCCCCCCCATCCCGGCCCCAACCCACTTGAGCCGCTTCTGCATCTTCTTGAGCCGCCGCTCCTGCGCCTCCATCTTCTCCTGCTCCGCCTGGTAGTAGGCCTCCAGCTCGTTCTCCAGGAACTCCAGGTTGCGGAACTTGTCCAGGTACTTCTGGTACAGCTCGTTCAGCTCGCCCTGGGAGCGGGGGGGGGAGGGAAGGGAGAGAAGGGGGCGGAGGGGGGACGGGGAGAAGAAAGGAGAGGGTGGGGTTGAGAGCATGAAAGGAGGACAGGGGCCGGGCATGGCTCTTGGGGTATGGAGTGCCGGTATGGAGTTACAGGGAGCTGGGATGAGCAAGGCAGTCCCTGTAAGGAGGATTGACTGCCACACTACAATCCAGTGGTGTTTGCTTGCAATAGCCATTCCATTACATATACTGCAGTTAAATTTATGGCAGGTAATGCAGCCCAGTCGCACCTGTAACCGCTCGTACTCGTCCATGTAGGCGGGCCGCACCGACTGCAGCGTGGACAGCCGCTTCTCCTGCCGCTCCAGCTCCTGCTTCTTCTTTTCGATCTTGTTGTCCAGCGTCTTCTCGTTGCGCTCCAGGTCCTCCATCTGGTTCTCCAGCGCGCGGATGTTGTCCTCAACCTGTCCCGCACATTTAAGCACAGGAGCGTGCCGTAGGCAAGGAAGCGCAGCACGGATTAACGCTATGTCGTTCTTTGTCAAGCTCATGAGGATGATGGCATGCGTACGGACCTCATGCTATGCAACCCTCCACCCTCCTCACCCCCCCCGCCCCCACGCTTTATCGCACGGTTCGTTAGTCGCTTCCTCACGCCCCCGGCCTCCCGCACCCACCATCGCAATGGCCTCCCGGATGCTGCGCTCCACAAAGTCCGTGTCCACGTGACCCGCCACGGCGCGCGCACGGTGCTCCCGCAGCTCCGGCTCCTGCCCCAGCGCGTCGTACAGCGCCGCCCCCGCCTTGATGATCTCGGAGGCGGAGGCCTTGATCTCCTTGGGGTTGAAGCCCTTGAGCGAGGAGGTGAGGTCCACCGCCTCGGAGCTGTCCTGTGGGGGCAGGAGGGAGGGGTGGAGGGAAGGGGAGGGAGGGAGGAAGAGGGGAGAGGGAATGGTAAGCAGGGTATAGGCAGGGCGAGAGAAGGGAAGTGTTCGAGGGAGGAAGATTGGGTTAGGGTTGGTGTGAGAGAGGTGTATAAGATGGGTGGAGAGGTCATGGAGGATATGGGGTCAAAGCGGATAAAGTAGCGTGTGGCAGAGGCATGGCTCGAGGGAGTGGAGTGGGAATTGGGTGGTGCCAGCCGTCGCATGCTGCATACGGGCGCTGACAGGACCGTTTTCCTTGCTAACCCCTTTCGCAATTGACGAGTGCAAAAGCCTCCGCAAGCGTGATGCGGCAAAGTTATGATGATGGTGGTGCAAACACCGTGCCCCACGCACTTACATCCTCAGCATCGCCGGCTTTTGACGTTGCCTTGTACAGCAACGTGGCGAGCTTTAGGAGCTCCTTGACAGCGTTGCCGTCCGCAGCGTACAAGCGCTTTATGTTCAACTTCATCCGTGCTTTGGTTAGCATGACCTGTGCGACTGACTGGAGGAACTTTACGCGTTCCCCCTCCGTGCTGATGTCGTCAGATATCTCCACTCCAGGGTAGTATCTGAGCGGGAAGAGCGCAGGTTCGGGTCTATATGCCAGAAGCGAAGGGGCGCGACTCGCGACATGCGGCTTACCTGTGTACAAGCCAATAAAGACAGTCCGCAACAAGCTCAAAGTTTGGCACCCGAAAATTCTCCATAGATATCAACCGTGGATATCCTAACGCCTTCATGAGCTCCGTGTACGCTGCGGGCAGTGGGGAACAGGGTGGTCGCGCAGGAACGAAGGGGCAGTTGCCGCGGCATCGCTGTCCTTACATCGAAGTTCTCTGAACGACATTTTTGGAGTGTCAAATACTAGATCAGATGCTTTGTTGTGTCCGCAGGGCGGTCAAGAGTCACAGTTCAGTTTCCATGTGTGGGAGCGGAGACAACTCAAACTAAAATTTTGATAACATTAATCACTTAATATATCTATGGTTGCTATGCCCTTTGGTGGTGGACACTGCTAATCCTTGCATGTTTGGGAGGGGCCTGCCGTACATTTTCCTTACCGAGACAATACCGCCCGTTTAGCACAGTTCTTTACAGCAACTTCACCTATCCAGACCTTTAGGGCGCGCAGTAGGCGCGCTGCTTTTCCCCTCCCCCTGCAGCGGGGTTTAGAACCCGACACCCAGCAATGAAGCTCTTGCCGGAGTCGCTGCAGCAGGAGGCGGCCACGGCCGCCGTTGTGGCTGGCTGGGTCATGTGGTACCTGGACACCCAGATGCTGCCGTCGCTCATGCGCGAGCACAAGCTCCACGCTTGCTGGTCCGCTGCCTACAAGCGGTATCACGAGACCATCTGGAAGTTCAACTACTCCTACGACCGTGAGCTCCGCTACTCAGCTGTGTCCAAGAACCAGGTCATGGAGCACCTGCACCACACCGCCCCCAAGTCGGTGTCGGACCACGTGATGAAGATGCTGGCGGCGAACAACAAGGTCTACGAGGCCTTCAACCCCAGCAGCAAGCGCCTGCTCATCTGGCAGACCCAGCCCTCGCTGCAGTAAGCTCGCAGCCTGGAGGACGGGCGCGGACCGGTGGCCTAGCGGAAGGACATCGCTCTGACGCGGAAGGCTTAGCGACATGAGCCGGACTTTGCGGTGCTGTTGCCGCGTGTGTGTTATGGTGCGGTAGGAGGGTTTTGGCTATGTGGAATGGGAGCTTGCGGAGTGCGCCGCATATCCCTTGAAGGTGGTGTCGACATCACTAGGTGTCAACTTTCGGGAATGTTCATGAGCCAGTGGGCTTGGTTAAACCAACTCCATTCATTCAACTGGCCGGTTCAGGCTGAACTTGGACGCCACGCATTGGTGTAAGGTTGCTCGCCAATCCTTGGGAAATTTGCCGAATCTAGTTCTGCTTTCTGTTATCTTAACCATGCATAATTAACAGCTCATTAAGGCCTCAGCCATGATAACTACGCGCATTGTGGTAGCCCCCTCCACCTCGATTTCGTGCAGGGATGCCCGTCAGCTCCAGCAGCTCACACTCTTGGGTTTGCGGGCAGCGCAGTCCTCCCTCATTGCGCGTAGGCTTAGCGCCGTGTTTCATAGTTGAGTCACGACCCGTGGGGCAGCCAATCCACCCAAGAGCAAGAGCGCAGCTGACGTATAGGCTGTCTCTGGATACGCGCTATGCGGGAACATACTCTTCAGCAGCTGTCCCAGCCTCGGGGGTCATGCTGGTAGCACGCAGCTATCCACAAGTTACAATCGTACACCTCTAGGCACCGGTACTAGTTGATGCCGTCTAGGCATCCCACCCAGCAGCGTTGAACACTTCAAGAGTACAGCTGTTTCATGCAGTCATCCGAACACGTCTTCCTGCATGGAACGCGCTGAGCCTTACGTGCCACACAGTCCATCTGCGGCGAAAACATATCATCTGCCGCACGGCTACCGCCTCCCCGCACCCATATACAGCAGTCCGTACTCCGAAAGGGCGCTAACGCCAAGCAGGCGTAGCAGCCCCACGAAGCAGTGTCCAGCCCGCCAAAAGTTCATCCAGATGAAAACCACAACCATTTTATAAAATCCGTCTCCAATGAAGGTTATGATGCCATGACCAACAGCACGCATCACGGCGTCATGCCAAGTACACCACATGCAGTACTCATGCCTCACACGCATTAGCAGCACCATACACACGCCAAAACGACCATATCCAACACGACCTCTTCGCCCGCACCACACATTCCGCACCACAGCTGCGGACTGCCAGCCCAAGCCATGCGGCGGCCTCACTTGGGCTCGGTGCCCCAGTGCGCCCGCACCCAGTCCGCCGCGAACGCCAGCGGGTAGCGGTTCTCGCTGGCCAGGTACTCCTTCACGCCTGCAGGGGGGGGGGAGGGGGGTGACAGGACCACACAGCAAGGACTACGTAAGCGCGCAGGGAGGGTTCAAAGAAGTACCAAACCACAAGTGAGGGCAGGACAAAGGAGAGGAGAGGGTAAAGAAGGAGGAGAGCCGCAAGTTCCGAGTGCCCTAAGCCTGTGACCTAGGGACCACCGGGCCTTATGCGCGGGTGAAATCGCATCTGAGTGCAGGGATGAGTGAATGGGTGGGGGTCAGCGGGTCCCAAGCATGATATGACAGGGGGGAGTAGGCCAGTAGGGGCGAGGTGAAAGTACGGAATGATGTTCCCGTTGCCCCCTCCCCTCCCCTTACCACTACCGGTATCACACCACACATTGGAATTTCTTCTTCCCCTCCCCTCGCTGCGTTGCTGCACTTATCTACAACTTTCCCCTCTCACCCTTCAGCTCCGCCACCTTGGCGTGGTGCGCCGCCAGGGCGGGGAAGCGGGTGCGGATGAGGTCGGGGAGGTGGTCCAGGTGCAGATCAACCTGGGGCGGAAGGGAAGGGAGGAGCAGGAGCAGGAGCAGGAGCAGAGAGGCGGGAGGAAACGTTAGCGCAGAAGTGGAGGGGGAAAAGAAGAAATCCAAGTGGAGGGGGAGGGAAGGTGCGTCATGTTGGGCATGACACGTCATAACCGTACCTGCACCGCTGCCCTCCAGTACCAGGCACCCCGCCCTACCCTAGCGCACGCACAACACGCCAGGCATCCCGGCTCTCCCTGCTGCCACCGTCCAACCACCAGAAGCCCAGGGGCTGCCCAGCCCAGTCCAGACCAGACCAGCCCAGCCGCCCCCTCCCCATACCAGGTCGAAGAGCGCGAAGTCCGCGATGGAGGGGCTGCCCCCCACCAGCCATCCCGCCTCCGAGTAGCGCCGCCGGGAGAGAGGGTACTCAAAGCTTGCCAGCCCGGGGCCCTGGGCGGGGATTAACAGGGACACACATCCCACATTAGGCTGGGTATTAGGCTGGTTCCTCGCTCCCCCTTGGTGGTGGCGAGGGAGGGTGGAATGGAGAGAGGAAAGCCCAACCAACTCTTCTTCTCTTCGCTTTCTCCTCAAGTCCTCACACACCCCTCACCCTCTCCACCCGTGCCCCCTCGTCTGTATCCCTGTTGGCTCCTGTGCTCACCTACCGGTACCGATATCCCCGGTGCCGCCCCGTCCGCCCCCACCCGCCTTATCCCTCAGTCAGTTAGCTGTTTCCTCTTTGCCCCCACCCGAATGCGCTCGCTGCATGAGTCGGGATATGGGATTGGGACTCGTTGTTTCACTTACAACGAAATGTTATCCACCCCAGCCCCACCTGCATCCCCGCCTTCTTGAGCTCCTCCTCGGCCGCCAGCACGCTCTCCTCGTAGCGCTGCCGGGCGGCCGCCTCGAACTGCTGCTCCACTGCCAGCGTCTGGGGGTGAGGGGGAAAGGAGTGACGAGCTGTATGACATGGTGTGCAAACATGGTAGCCGGCCCGGGGGGGGAGGGGGAAGGTGGACAGTCATGGGTTTGGGAGGGACGTGGACGCCGGGGGAGGGGGATAGGTAGGGGGAAGCCAACTCGGCTACGGGTAAGACAAGAAAGTACGGAAGGAGAGGGGCAGAATACCGGTTTTGCTCGATCTGACACCAAACCCCCGATGCCCCCTCCACCTACACGTAACTTGCCCCGCAGCTCCAGGACGCCGTCCATCAGCATGTCGATCTGACCCGCCTCGATCATGTTGGCGCCGTACAAATCTGTGCCGTACACAACAGGAACGCCGTACAAGTAAAGAATGTGTGTGCCGTACACGTATATAGCGGCCACAGCAGACACAGTACCATGGTAGGGCCTCGCCATTCTCTTGCATGGGATCCTTTCGGAGCCCCTTTGGATGCTAGGGACGCGTCGCGTGTGAATACCGTACACGTCGCGTGAAGGAGCCCTCCGACCAACCGCGCCCTGCCGTACTCCTCTCCTCCTTACCGTACTTCCTGCCCAGGTGCCTCATGATGGCCTGGCTCTGCACCAGGTCCACCTCCCCATCGTCGATGAAGCGGGGCAGCTGCCTGCGGGGGGGGCGGGGGAGGGGGGCAGGGGGCAAAAATTATAGATAATCAACGGAGTCTCAATCCCGAATCCCGACTCAGGGGTCGGGGGGGAGGGGAGCAGGTGGGGGAAAAAGAAATTCCAATGTGTGGTGTGATAATGATACAAGTTGCTGACAATCAGGGGGGGAGGTGGCGCTGGGAGCGGGGGTGGAAGTGTGCTGACGGAGGAAAGGTTGCTATTGCGGCCGACATGGCTTCCTGTGCTGGGTAGCATGGGAAGGGCCGTGTTCGCCTTTTATTACAAGGAAGGCAAGAGTGAGGCGCCGAGTAGTAGGTATGGTTATTAGCTTATTACAGCTTTGCCAGTGTGTGTCCATTGGAGCTTGCGACCCAGTCCAGCATGCAGGTAGGCGTCCTGCAGCCGATTGCTCACCTGAAGGGGTAGCCGTCAAACTCGCCATGCATGAGGGACACGATCTGCCTGCACGCAGGAAGGGACGCGTGAAGGCGTGCGCATGCGTGAGGCGGGGCAGCGTTGAGGGGACGGTGGGAAGGAGTGGGCACGCTGTAGCAGCCATCAACGGACGCTGACAGGGAAACAGCCCCGTGGCGTTGAGGACAAGAGGTGAGGAGGGTAGGAAGCGGAGGAGGGGTGTGTGTGCACGCACTGGTGCCTTGTGCGTCCCGTTACATTGCGTCGTTCTAACCGTTCCATACCGTTCCAAGTACAGGTGCCATTCTTCCTGCCGGCATTACGTAGGTTTATTCCCAAGTCCCATTCGCAGCCTCTCAGGACGTACTTCAGGGATGCAGGTGGCGGCTCGAACCACTCCTGGCCCACGTACGACAACGCCAGCCTGGCGTACATCCAGGCACGCAAGGAAGCGCCAACGTTAATGCTTGCGTTCATCGTCGCGAAATGATGTAGCGTTCGGTGGCATGGTGGAGAGTCTCGTAGGCCGAGGAAAGTAAAGGAATACCGGTAGCTGGGTGCCGCAATGCACCGCAGAAGCCTAGCAGCGTGACATACGACCTCTAGCTTCCAAAGGCATTTGTTGCCTTCGACATATATTTACGCACCTAATGGGTTCAGCGCGGCCTCGACACGGGTAGTACTGGAGCACCGGAAGCTTGGATGTAGATGCGGCAAAGGAGCCATCCTCGGCGGTATGGTGTGCAAAGCCGCGGTGGATTGCATGCATTATTATAATCCTTAGGCAAGCTTATAGTGTGTGGTGTGCTAAGCAGGCAAAGCTGCTTTACGATGTTAATGCCGAAAGCAGCAGTTGATGCCTTGTTAATTTTTTACGAATCTCTTTACAGTCTGGATTCCCTAACCGGATGACTGTAATTCTAAGGTGGTAGGAACGTCAATTGATGGCCTGCGTCTGTTCGGCCCTGTGGCCTCGGGGCGAATGCGTCAGAACTAGTACGGTGGCCGTTAAGGCGCTTCGCGCTTGGCAATAAAAATTGCCAGCGATCTCCCACGCTGCCTACATACAACTTGACGAGTAAGCATGAAGCCCCTTGCTTGGAATGGTCAGGGGCCACATCCGTTCAGAAGTCGCCGACAATGCATGCATGGAGCCCTCCTCAGGCAGTTGGCAACACTAGCAAACGGCTACATTGTCATTCTAAATGAAGGACACAAGTAAAGGATGAGCTTGTTGCGGCACCTGTTACCGAAACGGCTGGGTACCGTGTTCACTGACCCAGAGTTCATTTGGCATGCCCTACGCAGCACCTATGTACAGACTTTATGCCACCCGAATGAGGAGGGGCAGGCGGGGGTTTATGCGTGACCGCACGTCCTAAGCACATCGTGGATGTGTTTTGGGTGTTTCTGCACGGCTGCTCAGGTGCTCAAGCAGGCAGAGCACAGCAGGCAATGCCTGGGCAACGCGCAGGGCGGGATTGTTACGGTAGAGGAGTGCACGTACGGGTCAATGACCTTAGCTTGGGATCTAGGGCGTATTCGGAGGTGGCTTGGTTGCCTATGTACAAGCACTACCGGTACCGGTACCTCGGGCATGCCCAAAGGACACATTGCGAACAGCTAGCGCATAGCGCTTTTTGCTGCGGCTTGCCATATTGGTAGCTTTTTATCTTTGTCCAAGTTTGGGCTTGCATGCAGGACAATGCACAGTGTTCGACGGGTTACACGGGCAGATGACAACACTCTCGTGTCCTTCACAGTTTCGTCAAGATGCCTCTTGCACATGGCTACTTTGAGCTAGTGAGGATTATAAGCTCCACGTAACCAAGGGGAAACCGCGCCCTATGCACGTTGCTAATGGTCCGCACCGAAGGGTGCCACCCAGACGTCAGTATGGTACCACTCAAGTTCCAGCAGGTATAATAGCACACACTTAACACGCTACGAAATGAATTAACGGATCCGCTTGGTGTCTCTATTAAGCCCGGGCCAAGGCGATGTAGTTATATGGCCAGCAGCCTGCCGCCAATAGTGTTAACACGGCGCCCTATGACTTCCTAATCAACAAGGTTGCGAATTCATGGCATTTTGCCAAGTACGGTTACTGGCACGTACGGGATCGAGCGAACTATGCAGGACTGCTGACAACAAGGCCGCGCTAATACTGGTTGGTAAGCAAAACGCAAAATACCGATGCCCCTATTGCCTGATGCCATTGTTGTTTATTGCCGCGGGGGGCACCCTCGCACTTGCCTTGCGCGCGGCTGTTCGCGTCCTTCAAAGACGGAAGGAGGACGCTAACCATAGAGATGGCTACGGGAAGGTATATTAGATGCAAAACGGGCTAATTCCAAGGTGCGGGGTAGACTTACAAGGTCCTGTTCGCCGCTTTCAGGAGGAGGACTTCTTCTTCACTGACGAGGATGCTGGTACTAGTACAAGCTATCGACGCGGTACGCGTATTCCTTATAGTGTCTGCCTCTGATAGTTTCTTGAAGGCGTCCATCCTCCCGATTCGCTAGTGAAGATGCCTCATAGCTCCAGACATACCAACTCATTACTATAATATAATTGCGCCTCCCGTATTCCTTATGCTCATGTTGCAGCTGACAATCGCACTCTGGACCTGAGTTGCCCCGTGCCTGAGAAAGCGTGTGGGGAGCAGAGCCTGCACTTGAGCAGGCAGCATTTGGAGGTGCGTTTGGCTTCTTGGGCACCTATGTTAGGGTACAGCCGGCTTGGGGCTAAGAATGCAAATCTTACCCACCCTGGGGGAACGCCAAAGCCCTGATAGCACACGTTGACATCACAGCGAAAACCCAACGACTCCCTGTCATTGCAGGCTGTCGCCGCTGAACCGGAATTCGTGGAAGATGGCCCCTTTGGTAGGTCTGGTGTACTGGTGGGATGGGGCGCCAACCCCGAGCACCCAGCCACGCCTAAGGTCGTCACGCGCAACCTTCCCAAGCTCCCGCTGTCCCTGGAGAGCACCCATGCTGCCCATGGACACTACTCTTGCTTCCTTTCCTCTTCCAGCTTCCTCCTCCTTTCCGCCTTCCCTTCACGCACCTTCCTTCCTCCTTTTCCTCCCCTCCCACCTCTCCTTGCGGCCCCCGCCAGAGGACCTGGCGTCGGTCTCCAGCAGCGAGGCCCGCCGCCGCGCCACCAGCATTCGGAAGGTCCGCGAGTGGGACGACACGGGCGCCACCCTGGACTGGATCCAAGCGGAAGGTACGACAGGTTTTCTTGGAACCTGCCTCTGTACTCCTGCCTGTATACTCCAAATCGGGTACTTGGGGCGTCGTAGCTGCCCCATGTGGTTTACAGGGTTGTGTTAGGGCCGCATAGCACCAACTCTGCCCATGACGCATGTGCGCATTTGGCTGTTGCTTACCCCACCGACTTCTACGTTCTTGCCCTCTCACACGCGCCCTCTCCAGCTATTGACCGAGATGGAAGCGCCGGCGGCGCCAGCAGCGGTAGCGGCAGCGGTGGGGTTGGCAGCGGCGGCAGTGGTGGAGGAAGCGGCGGAAGCGGTGGCAGCGGCAGCAGCTGCGGCGAGGATTCCCGCACCCTAACCGGCGGCAGGACAGCAACCCGCAGCGCTGCGTCCTCTTCCGCCACCTCCTCCTCCCCGAGCCATCAGGAGGCCCCGCCCTCGCCCTTCTCCACGCCGCAATCCTCGCGGCTGCATGCCTGCGGGCCCACGCAGGGGGGCACACCCGCCAAGACGGCGTTTGGTTCCCTTGTGGCCCTGGAATCAGCGGGTCCCAAGCAGCAACAGCAGCTGCAGCTGGTGTGCGGGGAGTGGGTGGCGGGGAAGGGAGGTGATGTGGCTGCAGTATGCGACATCGCTAGAGGCAGCGGCGGTGGTGGTGCAGGTGCCGTTGCTGCTGCGCGCAAGGGAGTTAGCGAGGCTGTTGCGGCATGCAGCAGCACGGCCGGCATCTGCAGCCATGATAGCGGCGGCAGCGGCGCCGGTGACGGCAGTGGCGGCGGCGGCTCCGGAGGTGTTGATGCAGTGGGACAGGGCGCAGGCAGGGACGGTGTGCCCTTGCCGGCGCTTCCGTTTACTGAGCAGGAGATCTGCGACATCCACACGAACAGTAACAAGAAGGGAGGTAAGAAGAGCGACAGCAACAGCTGCGGCACGGGCGAAACAGCGACCTCATCCTCCCGCCACTCCTCATGCAGCCCCGCTGCCAGCGCTGCTCATTCCTCCGACCCAGAATCCGAAAAACAGGCCAAGCAACACCACCCAAAGCACCAGCCCCAACCTCAACAGCAGCACCAACGGCGTTCGGTGTCAGACCCAGATCCAGACCCTGCCTCAGCGTCTGCGTCTGCGTCTGCTGCCGCCGCCCCCGCCGCTTCAGCTAAACCAGCCACCACTACCACCACCTCCAAAACCGCACCCCCTCCTGCTGCTCCTTCTCCTTCCCCCGCTCGTCCACGTCTCACGGACCTTCACGCCGAACTTGAGGAGCGTCGATCCGCGGAAGCTGCCGCGGCCGCCGCTGCCGCCCAGCCCCTGCCTCCCACCATCCTAGCCACCCGCCCACCCGACCCGAAGAGCCTGCTGGCCATCCAGAAGCAGGTGGAAGCGCTGCGGCTGCAGCACCTGCAGCGGCAGGCGCAGGCGCTGCTGCCGGCACCAGCTGCTTCCAGAGGCGCGGGGCAGCAGCCCCTGCAGCACATGACGCAGCAGCAGCAGCCCCTGCAGCAACAGCAGCAGGTGCATGTACAGCAGGTAGGAATGCAGCAGCTGCAGAGGGACATAGCAGGAGGGGCGTACATGCTGCAGGCGCAGCAGCCGGTGGCGGGGGCTACTGGTGTTCCGCAAATGCTGCATCCCTCACAGCTACTTCAGCAGAAGCAGCAGCTGCTGCAGCAGTTGCTGCAGCGGCAGCTGCAGCAACAGCAACAAGCCACGCCTGGGAACATGTATCAGGGCTATTGCAAAGCCGCTTCAGGCGGCTCAACATTAACAACAGCAGCAGCAACGGCGTCGGCAATAGCTACATCTACGGCGTCGCACGGGGCTGGCTTGATGCCTTCAAGACTGCTCTTCTTTTCCGCACCTTCATCGCCCTCGCCTAGTCCGCTACGGTCAGCACCCCAGGAGCGGGCACTACTGGTACCATCGCAAGAAACTCCTGCGACCCCAGCTGCATGTGCAGCGTACCCATGTTCCCCTTCCTCGCCTCTGTACGGCGATCGCTGGCCGGAGGAGGCTGTCAGGGCTGCTCGCATGGGCACGGTGCAGTGTCAATCCAGGCAGCGAGAGCGGGGGGAGTCGCCTAACCGGCAGCCGCCGGAGCAGCAGTCCCAGACGCAGCAGCTGCAGCAACTGCAAACCCGGCTGCTGCAGCAGCAACAACAACAACAGCAGGGGGCCTATCAAGGCGCCGCTGCTGGTGTCTCCAACAGTGCACTGTTACCGCCGTCGCAGCTTCTAGCGACCCAACATGCGGCTTGGGGAATGCAGCCGCAGGTGACCATGCAGCCGGCAGCGCAGCAGGCACACCAGATGGGATCTCCCAGTCGCGGGCAACAGGGCATGCCGCAGGCAGCGACCAGGTTGATGGACGCAGCAGCAGCGTCCATGCAGGCGTTCGGCTCCCCGGTGTCCCCGCCCATCTCTCCAGATGACGAGAAGAAGCGGCCAAGGCCACCCCAGTCGCCCATTAGGGCCCAGCACGAGCGTTTGCAACAGCAGCAGCAACTCCAGCAACCGCTGACTGTGCAGGAGCTGTTTGCCCTGCAACAGCAGCAGCAACGGCAGCTTCAGGGACAGCAGCAGCAGCACTCCAGCAGCTTACCGCACGCGCCTGCCGAATCCGCATTCGCCCGCGCCACAGCAGCTGCCGCGGCTGCACTGGCTGGCAGCAGGCGCTTCAGCCCGTCCTTCCATGAGCCCACCTCACCTCCTGCGTCGCCATTAATCCAAGCATACCACCACTCCGACTCCAACAACGTCGCCAACACCACCCCCTTAACCGCCGTGGACAGTGTACGGCGGACCCAGGAGTGGATCAGCAGCACGGCCTCCCAACAAGGACACCAACATCATCAACAACAACAGCAACCCGGCCTCGCGAATGCCCCCAGCTTCGCGCACAGCCTCGCAGTTGCGGCCGCGAAGCAGCTCCTGGGCACCTCCCCCATCCCAATCCCCGCCATCATTGGGCCCCCTGCCATCACTGCATCTTTCGCTCCATCGTCTCCTCCCAGGCACACCTTGCCCACCGCCGCCATCGGCGGAGTGTCCTACACCTCCTCCTCTCCAGGATCCTTCCGCATCCCTGCAGGCGTTACGGACGCCCCGGCTCCTGCCCCCACACCCCAGTTCCCCCTCGCACCTGGCTCCAACTCTCCCCAGGACAGCATGCACCACCCGCCGCGGCCTCCGCCGCTGCAGCTGCAGCTGTTACAAAGCCCCAGCATCGCCCGCTCCCTGTCGCCGAACCAACTGGATACGCTGACGTCGCGTGTCAGTGGTGGCGGATCGTCCCATGGGTCGCGCAGTAACGCCAACTCGCCGAGCGGACGCCCGCGCCATTCCAGCACGCGCAGGCGCCAGCGGGAGCAGCTGTTGTTGCTGGCGCAGCAGAAGCTGGCGGCCAGCCAGATACCGCCCTCGCTGCTGGCCTTGTACGGCTCTCATTTACTGCAGGAGTCTGGCGAGCAGGTAGGGCACAAGGAGGCGAGTCGCTTTAAGGAAACTAGGCTGTAGCGTAAACGTAAAAGCGAATGGGCGGTCGTGGAAGCTACATGTGGGCTTGTAGCCTTTAGATGACTGAGTCCAGGCTGCCTTCTTCTCACCCCTTTCCCCTGCATCCCGCTGTCCGCAGTTTGTGGAGGCTCCGAAGCTGCCAAGCGGCCGGGCTTTCTTCGTGCCCCTCAAGGTGAGGGTTGCGGTGGGGGGCTTGGGGGGCCTGTCACTGGGCCTTAGGACAGCTTAAGGAGTCATCTGACGGGATGGGGAAATCGCTTATCATGCGTATCACTGTTCTGCTTTCCACCACCGCCACCGGTATTGCACCCCAAGAAGGGCATTGCCTCAGGTGGCTTTTGCCTTGCACCCTGCCTTGCACGCCCCTCGCTATGTATTATGACCTGCAGCACCCACCTGCGCACCCACCCGCAGCACGAGCACCGACTGGACGTGTCATCGGAGCGCCTGAGCTCGCGGCTGTCGGGCGGCGGCAGCTGCCAGGACGCCGAGGAGCTGACCAGCGTGCGGTCTCTGGGCACCACAACCCTGGGAGCCAGCACGGAGGGGTTCGGCAGGTAGCTCCCACCCGCCGCCTTGTTTGGCACCAGCCGGGATTGCTACCATCCGCGTCAACGAGCACCAGCCAGGACTGCCAGCAGCTGCATCTAAGTCAATGACTGGGCAGTAGATAGCGAAATGGCTGCGGGTTCCTGTGCTGCGGTTGTTGTGGCGGGGGGCTGCTGCTGCTGCCGAGGTTGTGTGTTGCTTCTGCTGGCAGCTGTGTTGCCGGTGTTGCTGCTGGTGCTGTTGTTGCTGCTGCGGCTGCCTTATGTGTTGCGCCTGTTGCTCTGCTTGGCAGCATTGGGAGGGCAGGGGAAGGCCTTGCAGGCAGGTGCTGCAGATGTGGTTGGCTGGTGGCTGGTGTGATGGTGGCAGGTGGATGATGGTTGAGACGGGCTGGTGGAGAAAGGGTTTTCAGGGGGAGGCCGTTGCTGCAGGGCACGGTGGCGTCAACAACGGAGATTGTGTTGGCGGCGGCGGCAGGGAGGAAGAGCAAGCTAGTGTTGTGTTGGAAGCGGGGGCGCGAGCATGCCATGTGTCTAAGCCTGCGTTCGTTTGGGCATGTAGTCAACGGGCCTGGCCCCTTCTATCTTTCTAATTGTCTTTGCAGTCGTGTCGCTCCTCTGATTATGTTTGCCAATCGACGCTTCACGAGAAGACGAGCCGCTCATGTGACGGGCGATGCGCGTTTCTTGCAGTACTAACTGAGATGGCTTTATGACCCGCGGGTCAGTCGCAGGGATTTTGGCCTCCTGGTATTCATTCGGACGGGGATTGAAGTTCGATTGAGCGAAAAGGGACGTCATTTCTAGGGGACGTGAGGGGCTAGTCTGTTGAGCGGGAGCGTAGGAAACTTGCTACCGGTACAAGCTTTTCCTTCGGCGTAAGTTTGGCATGCGTGACAATGTCTTGGGCGTGATTTTACCTAACGCCGAGGTGCATTCCTGTTGAGCACGGCATGCATGCATCTGGTTGCGGTTAATCTGGGTAACGAACTTGTCGGTTATAGCAATGAAGAAGCAGAGGTACAGAGCGGGACTTGAGGATGGGGCAATGAGCACAGGCAAGGGCGCTTACCGTACGGAACCGCGGCATGTGTTGAGACAGATGCAGCTGCGTGTTGAAAGCAGAGTGCTACTTTTACGAGGAGAGGAAAATTGGAAGAGGTTAGCTGGCGGCGTATCGTACTGTGTTTTTGCTGCATGCAACTGAGGAGAGCAAGGAAAGGGAAGAAGAGGGCTCGTTGTGCGGTCTTCATAAGGGCTGCTTGCACCTTGAATTGCTGCGGAGGGCTCGAATGGACACATGGACGGACAGAGGGTGTTGGGAGGCGTGTGAGGCTGTGGGCCCGAACCGCGAGCCGCCCCTCTTGTCGCGTTTGCTTGATTTTGGCTTTATTAACAGGGAATAACGTCGTAAAGGCAGGGCTAGTCAGGCGGGCTAGGTAGGTGGGTGTACGGTAGTTGGGAAGGATGCCGTACATGCAGACGACGTACGGAGCGGTTGTGGAGCGGTTGCAACGGTGAGAAGGCGCAAGGTGGTTGTACTGGACAAGAAGAGAAAGGACGATGCTTTGGAGTGCTGACGTAAAGGGTGCTGAGGGTGGTTTATTGAGAAGGGGAAAGGATACGCGCGATTTGGTTACTTAATTGTAGCGAAGACGAAGCTGAAAGGGGAATGAGAGGCTGCTAGTGGTTGCGAGTAACGGGGAACGCGTGATGTGATGGCAAGGTTAAGATTGGTAGGCTTTCGGCATTGAGGAAGGCCTCTGGCAAGCGGTTCACAAAGCGTCTGTTTACTCGACATCAGCAAGGAGGGATGCGTCGAGAGCCCGGCACAAACGACATCAGAGGAGGGGTAGAATGGAGCAGGCGAGAAGTGAAAGGGGCGGTGGGGTTTAATCGCAGCAACCCCTCGTACGTACTGGTGAGTTGTGGGGAGGAAGTGGATGGGGAGCGCGCTGTACAAGTGGAGCGCTGCGCAGTTGGAGAGGGGAAATGTAGTTTGGTCAATTTCTGATTTTCATTTGTAGACGTGATGGAGGATACACGTTACGTTTGTCAGCGGCGGCGGTGGTAGAGGTGGCGGTGGTTGTAGCGGCGGCGGTGGTGGCGGTGGTGGTAGCCACGAGGGGCAGGTCGAGATGGGTAATTTCAGGCTAGGGCCAGGAGGTCAAATGGCGTGCGGTGGAGACATGCTGCGTTTGAACCGTTTGCGACATGGCGTGGTCACTCGCGCCTGTTGGCTTACATGGGTTGCATGGGGACTTCCGTAATGCTTACTTTCGAGGTTCCCACGCTTGGCGTCCTGAGGTCATCGTGGTTTGCGTGCGATATGTGCCGAGTTCTGTTGACATTTAGGTTGGCTGGGGCTCAATCTGGGGTTCACAATAAAGGTTCTCAACATGCGGCGGAATGTTGGATTTCGCCTCTTGCTTGCTTTTGCGGTTGCCTGGAAGCATGGGGTTTGAACCGATGCAGGACAGCTAAGCACCCCCCCTTTTTCACTCACGATTGGTCTAATGCATCTATGGCAACATGTGTATTGATATTGTCGGATAGAATGTTGGATAAAATGGTTCGCCGAGCGTCTGCGGAGGCAGTTAATGCGGACTCCATTGTTGTTTCCTATGGATACGAACGTGCTGCTGGTGGTGCTGGTGGTAGCGGTGCGCTCTGATGCAGTTACATGGCTGCTGGACCCGGACGTTATGGCACGTCGTCATCTATCTATCGTACGCGCCGTCGGCGTTGCTGTTGTGTCCTGTCAGTCCGTTAGGGTGTGTGAGATGTGTGACCTGTGTTGTTTTTGCGCTTTTGCTTCAAGACGGGCATGTAGCTTGGGTTTGGCTTTTGTTGCGGGATAGAATGCGCTGCAGGGTGCCGTGTGAAAGCACGGATGGTGCGACGGCGTGGATATGTGTAGGTTCGTCTGTTGCATGTTGCGGTGGATGTTATAAAAGTAGTTTGGTATCTCCTCTTCCTTAGAGCCGCAAGCGGAATAATGACTGTTGCTGGGCCGGCCATTTATTGCGCTGTGTCCTTAGAGGCCCCTTCCGGGCCAATTGCCGTACGACACAAATCTCTGGACCTCACTTATCGTGCGGTTTTAGTACTAGTGGCGGGTATATGAAGGGAATGCAGGGGAAACTGCGTGTGTCCAAGAGCGGTTTAGGGGTGCGTTGGGGTGTGTGAGTTAGGTAATGGTACCGGGCGAGGTGTGGTTGGGTTTTGTGCTGCTGTGAGGTACGTAATGATACGCGTACAGCCGAGGCAAAGCAGGCAACCCTACCGTACGTGGGGCTAAGCAGGGCTGTCATGGCGTGTCCAGTGACTGACTCATCTTGTGTCAAGCACGCGTCGTGTCATGACAGGGCTGCGAAGGGCTAATGCGTGGAGGAAATGTGCCTGTCCATTGACATATTATCCGGCGTTTGAACCTGTTTGTTTTCCACTTATCGGTCTTCATGGAGATGTTTTGGTCCGAAGGCGAGCAGCGAAGGAGGCTCCAGGGTTTCAGTTTCGTACATGTGGGGCGGCTTCAATAACGTGCGGTAGAATATGATTAATGGTTGTATATGCTTATGTTGGTTTTGGGCTACTTATATATTGATTGTTTGACGGTGGTTCAAGGGGTGCGGTATTCGACGCCCACCGTTGTGCCTATGCAGTTCGGTTAGTTGCATGGGCGGCGCTATAGGGCATGGGCCTCTGCCCTGGCCTTCTTCGTATTGTGCTGTGCAGTACCACATTTGACTCGTCATTCGCTGCTTGGACCTGTCCCATTCAAGTAATCCAATGGTTACCTACGCGTGCATTGTAAGGATTATAGTGCCACGATCGCCACTACAATGATCGAAAGCGCAGGCACGAGGGGTAGGAGCCTTAAGGGACGAGGGGCCTGGGTAGCATGCGGGCAAGGTGCACACACCGCTGCATACAGTTGAGGACGGCGGCTTCCTTTGACTTCCTTTTGCACAAGTTAGAGAGACCTGCAATACTTCCATTTAGGTTGTTTGATTTTAAAGCGCAATCGACGGGTTGGCTTGTGGGCTTAATGCAAACTGTCAATCTGCACGGCGTGGTTTCGGGGCGGGGTTTGCCGACGTGAAAGCGGTCTGGTTGCGCTCTTGCGCACACGCCTAACCTTTACTTTTAGAGATTAATACGTCTACTATAATTTGGTCTACCGTAAATAAACGTGCTTTGCCCTTGCAACTCATGCGGAATTTGTGTCGGTTACAAAAAAGGCGGGAGGGTGGCATGCCTAAGAGCAGGGATGAGCCAACACTATCTCTGACATCGGCAACTTGGAACATGTTTACGTGACTTCTGTGCAGCAGTTATTTGGGATTACTGAGTACTGTAGTTAATTGGTACCTCGTATGCTTTCGCACCTGCATGCGACGCCATCAAGATGAGTTTTGCTCTTAAGAAACAGATAAAGAAGGAACTCTTAGCTTCGGATTGGGCTGGTAAAGTAGAGGAAGCAGCTGTCGCGGCACTCGCGACCATCCTTGAGGAGCAGCATGGAGGCCATATCGATGCCCTGCACAGCATCCTTCGTGCTTGCACGTCAGGTACGCCCAGCGAGTACATAGTGGCAGCTTGTCTGTGAGGTTAGCAACCTGTCCTGAGCATCCCACGTTTCACCCATGGTCCCCGGTGTTCGACTTTCGCAGAGCTGTCCGCCGATGGCAAAATCACAGCAGCATCTGTGCATGCAGCCGCTTCACCGAATGGAGGCTCACAGCAGGTTGAGCTGATGGAGTTTGTAGATGCCTTCAGCATCCCGCGGCTAGCATTTGACGCCGTTCAGCGCAAACTCTACCTCAACACCAAGCCGCAAGTAATCCACGCAACAGCCGAGGTGTGTCATGCCTAAAATCACGGCCCATGTAGCTCCTTCCTGGCCCCTCATAACATACTAGCCGCTGTATTGGACTAAGGGCTTTCCTGCTTTGGCCAGTCATCCGGTTACCCACGACCTCTTAGTGCATAACACCAAGGGTTACCGAGTACTTACTGCCCCTGCTTCCCTCCTGGTGTACAGGCGAAGCACCAGCTGTACCTCCAAAGGCTGTTGTTGATCCAGCAGCGGCTGCAGCGGAGTCGCATGTTCCAGCAAAGCCACTTGCTGCTGCCCAACTCTGGCGGCAACTCCTGCTCCATCCAGGTACCTCCACACACGCGCAGACACGCGCACAACTTGCATTCAAAGAGCCAGCTCTGCTCACGTCTACTTGCCACTTCTGGCTCCGCCCTGAGCAACCCAAAGGCGCTCCCCATCCGTCTTACTCGGACGTTTTGTAAGGACGTTAAGCATACCTTAACCCCGCGCTCTGCTCCATATTCGCCCCCCTGGCTCCCATCCTTCCGACCTTCTTCCCAGCAGCATCCTCGCTTTCCCACCTCTCCTTCTCCCTTCCCTCCCCACCTGCTAGGCTACCACCGTACACACCCTCACGTCCCACCCTTCCTTTCCTCCCCACCTGCTACCGCCCCACCCAGCTCACGGACCTGCAGTCCCTGAAGGGCGTGTTTGGCGTCACTCGCTTCGTGCTGGGCTGCATCAGCCGCTCCGAGGACGGGCGGTACGTGCTGGAGGACACCACGGGGGCGGTGCCGCTGGACTTGAGCGCGGCGGAGACGGCAGCTGGGTTCTACACGGGTGCGTGCTGGGCTGTGGACGGGTGCATGGCAGGTTGTGTATGGGTGCGTGCAGGGTTGCATACGGGCCGGCAGTTGGGTGCGGGTAAAAGAGGGTACAGGGTGGAGTGGAGGAACATGCATGGATGAGGTCGAGACTCGGGGCTTTAGCGGACTGAGTGGCTAGGAGGAGAGGGCGAGGAGGATGCATCGGTTGCTGATGGATTGGGACACGAGGAGGCGTTAAGGACCGGTTGGTTAGCAATGCTGCTTTCCACCCATCCTCCAACGCCACCCTCCACATCCCTCCACATCCAACCCCCACCTCCAGAGAACTGCGTCGTGATTGCGGAGGGCTCTCTGGGCCACGACGGCTTCTTCCACGCGCGGGCGCTGGGCCTGCCGCCCTGCGAGCCTCGCTCCCAGCTGCCCCTAGCGGCGCAGCGGCTGAACCTGTGGGGCGGGCAGGGCGGCGGGCTGGGCGCGGACAGCGACGCGGGGGCCTTGCTGGCGATGGAGGAGGCGGCGCGCGGCGGCAACGACCGGCTGGTGATCCTGGCGAACGTGTGGCTGGACCGACAGGAGGTGATGGACGGACTGCACACGCTGCTGGCAGGTGGGGGCGGGTGCGGGAGGGGGGGGCACACGGGATAGGGCTGAGGGTGCTGGGGGTGCTAGCGGGCTGTGGTTTCGGTGATCCTTGGTGGTGGGCATAGTGTGTGTGGTTCTTGGGCTGTCTGGCACACATCAACGGTGCATTCCACTGAAACCATCCAACTCGCACGCTTCCCGCTCTTCACACGTTCGCAGGCTTCTCCGGCGTCCTCACGCCTCCCGCCGCCTTCATCCTGATGGGCAACTTCCACTCACGGGCGGGGGCGGGCGGCGGAGCGGCGGGCCGTGGTGGCGGCGGCGGCGGAGCGCGCGGCGGCGGCGGCGGTGACGCCATGCTGAGTGGTTTCGATGTGGACTATGGCGTCATGCGGGAGCTATTTGGGCAGCTGGCGGCGCTGATCGATCAGTACCCGAGGCTCAAGGTACGGATGATCGGTACTGCGTGGGGAACTTGAGGGCTGTGGTTGTGGGGTAGCTGTGCCTATATCAACTATAGGACAGGTGCAGAGGTGCGCTGCTCCATTGCCCTGCACCTGTCTTTGCCAACCTGCCAATCTACCGTTCTGACTGCATGTCCGCAACACACGTTCTTCCATCCCGCCCGTATTGTTTTCCTCCTTGTAGGCTGAGAGCCGCTTCGTGTTCGTGCCGGGTCCTGACGACACGGGCCCAGGCGCCATCCTGCCTCAGCCGCCGCTGCCGCGCTGTCTGACGGGGGAGCTGCGGCGGCTGCTGCCCACCGCGGTGTTTGCGTCCAACCCCTGCCGCCTGCGCTATGCCACTCAGCGCATTGTGCTGTTTCGACATGACCTGCAGAGGCGGCTGCGGAGGCGGACGCTGCTGCCGCTTGCAGGTGCGTGTCATGAGTGTTGGGGGGTGGGGTCTAGCCGCCGGGGTTGTCGGTGGTCGGGAACGTTCACCACTGGTCCTGCCACAACCCGGCTACCGGTACCCACCGGCCACCCACCATGCATGCAAGTGCAGCCATCAACCCTTGAGCACGATGCCTCCTTGCGCACGTCCTCTACGTGATTGCATGTTAGCTCCCATGCCTCCATGCATCCTCCCTTTACACTACCCTTCCCTCCTCCTATTGCTGTCCCCAGGTGCCCCCGAAGGCTCCGCTGCCGCTGCCGCCACCGCACCCTCCGCCTCCCAAGCCTCCCAGGCGGCCGCCGCCGCCTCCTCCTCCGCCCTGTGGGGTCACCTCTCGTTGACGCTGCTGCAGCAGTCCCACCTGGCCCCCCTGCCGCTGCTGGCGCAGCCGGTGTACTGGCAGCACGACAGCGCGCTGGGGCTGTACCCGCTGCCTGATGCAGTCATCCTGGCGGATGCGACGGCGGGGCCGCAGGAGGAGTTTGTGCACGAGGGATGCCGGGTGCTGAATCCGGTGGGTGGGTGGGGTGGGGTAGGAGGAGGACAAACGCTGCTTTGTGGATGGTGATTGGGAGGTTGGGAAGATGTCCTGAAGACCATGCCGCTTAAGGTCCTTCCTTTTGGCTTTTGGTCTCACCACACCATGCGTAACGCCTACCGCCTCCCCCGCCCACCTGCCGCACCCTTCATGTGTCCCGCGCCGCAGGGTTCCTTCCCCAGCGGCTACTTCGCCGCCTACCTGCCCTGCGTGCAGCAGGTGGAGATGAGCGAGCTGCCTCGACCGGGACAGGAGGGAGCAGGGGAGGACGGAGAGGAAGAGGAGGCAGACGGCTTGGGCCAGCACCGGCAGCAGGGGCAGGGGCAGGGCGGCGGGGAGGAGATAGATATGATGGAGCTTGGGGAGGAGGTGGATGCGGCGGCAGCAGCAGCAGCGGGCGGGGAGCAGGTGGGGACGGAGGGCGCGGCGAGACGGGCGCTGCACCAGCGACAGCCGCCTGCCGCGCAGCAGAAGCAGAAGCAGGCGGAGAAGGGCAGCAAGGGGCAGAAGCCGCAGCGGCAGCAGAGGAAGCAGGGCCAGGCGGGGGGTGCCGGCAGGGGCAGGCAGGCGCAGCTACGGACGGTGAACGGTGCCGGCAACGGAGCGGATGCCGCCGCTGCTGCTGAGGAAGGTGGGGAGCAGGCGGGTCAGGGCGCGGAGCAGGCCGCGGCAGCAGACGGTGCTGGAGGCGAGGCTGCAGAGCAGCAGGGCCGCGTCGGCGGCAGCGGCGGGGGTGGTGCTGGAGGCGGCAGGGGAAGGGGCCGGGGCAGAGGTGGCGCCGCAGGGGGTCGTGGCAGGGGGGCGAAGGGTGCTCCGGCGGCGGCGGCAGCAGCGGGACGGGGCACCCTGGCGAAGATGTGGGCTCAGATGCGGCCGCAGGGGGGTGTGGGAGCAGCGGGCGGGCAGGGGGAGGGCGGCGTGGTGGAGTTGTTAGAGGATGGGGATGAGGAGGGTGGGGGTGAGGGGGATGTGGAGATGGAGGAGGAGGCAGGAGGGGTTGAGGTGCGGAAGCAGAGGGGGAGTCGGAAGCGGCGGGCGGTGGTGGACGAGGATGAGGAGGATGGGGAGGATGAGGGTGAGGGGTTGGGAGCGGCTGCGGCGGCGGCAGGTGGTGCTGCGGGCAGGAGGACGTGGCTGGACGATGATGAGGAGGACTGGATGGAGGGGGACGAGTGAAATAGAGGGACATGGGGGATGAACGTGGTGGGTGGTTGGCAGACCAAGGCATCAAGAACGGGGTTCACTGGTCGGGAGTTTGGCGCGTCTGAATTGCATGCAACATAGCTCGTGACTTCTGACAGTGTTCTGCGTTCAGTAACACTCAGTGGCGAATGGAGAGAGATGGTGAGGTCAATCACAGTTTCGCCGTTCTAATGTCTTTGTGGCATAACAATTGCAACTTGGTTGGAATGTCCGTCCCCTACCGCCTCATGCCACGTAAGTTTGCTCTAGCCCTGTCTTCGAGCAAAGAGAACTGAATTGTTGGGTAATGTCATTGGTAGGTGGCTTCGCCACCAGCGGGTTTTTACTGGAAGCCTCAACCACTGGAAGTCCTTGCCAACCGCGGAAAAGCCTTTAGGTCAGTCTATCCAATTGTGGTAGATTTCCTTCCCTTGCGCGAAGTGCGCTACTTCCGCTGCCGTACGAGTACTGTGACCATTCGCACTTAAGCGAGCCCGTGAGAACTTTCCAAGCTGAAATGAAAGCAAACCTAAAAACTTTCTTGAGGATTTATCTATAAAAATAGGTTAGCGGAAACCGTTATGAACATGGCCAAGGTGTGGTAGCTGCCTGCCAGTGTCCGTCCGACAATGTTGAAGGTAAGGCGTTTACATACCTTGAATGCTTAGATGCTTGGTGGCACTGTGTGACAGGCGACTTGCCAGGTCCTAACTTGCTGACGCGCTGCAGGTGACTTTTCATGAAAAAACCTTACACTCATCTCATCTCCATGAGATTGTCTCCACAGTTTTGCAGAGACAACCGTTGATGCTGTCCAACTGGTAAGATGCTTCGGAAGTCGTGCCTCTAGTTGCCAATTGTCAATTCGCAGAGCGTATTCATTTTTCTTTACTTAATGTATGCAGGTCTGCAAACAACTGCGCATGCCCGTGGACTAAGAACAGCCTGTTAAAGCACCAGCGCGAGAACAAGCTTACAAAGGTGAGCCTCCGCGACCATTACCATTGGGTTTACGAAGCGGCAGCACCAAAGCGTGCACCGATAGTGCGCTTTGACATTTTATATGTAATGTAATATGGTGTTCATTGCGTAGTTCCTTGTGTCAGCATAATGCGAGTTTTAGACATCGTAGCACGTTGCTGCCGATGGCCATTAGCACATTCTTCTTACCACACACAGCAATAACCTGTTCCTTACAACAATGTTTGCCTTCGTTTAATGAAGGTCACAGCATACCTGCTCAGCATATAAGGCAAACATTTGTGACTACCGTACCTGAGCTGTGCTGCTGCTGTTGTGCTGCGACAGGGAAGGCCAACTCCAAGACCAAGCTCGACATCAGTCCAAGACCAAGATCGACATCATTCCAAGACCAAGATCGACATCATTCCAAGACCAAGATCGACATCAGTCCAAGACCAACACCGCATAAGGTACGTGTCAGCCCGCATGGCCTGGCAAGCCAACAGCGCCCCGAGAGAGATGTGTGAAGGTGCCCGCCCGCATGGCCTGGTAAGCCAAGGGGATAACCTTGAGATGCGGAAGGGAGGAGCCAACATGGGACATGGCTGGACCAGCCAACAGCGCCCTGAGGGCTATGTGTATAGGGGTGAACGCGCATGGCCTGGCAAGCCAAGGGAATAACCTTGAGATGCGGAAGGGAGGAGCCAACATGGGACATGGCCGGACCAGCCAACAGCAGCGCCCTGAGGGGTACGTGTATAGGGGTGAACCCGCATGGCCTGGCAAGCCAAGGGAATAACCTTGAGATGCGGAAGGGAGGAGCCAACATGGGACATGGCCGGACCAGCCAACAGCGCCCTGAGGGGTATGTGTATAGGGGTGAACCCGCATGGCCTGGTAAGCCAAGGGGATAACCTTGAGATGCGGAAGGGAGGAGCCAACATGGGACATGGCTGGACCAGCCAACAGCGCCCTGAGGGGTATGTGTATAGGGGTGAACCCGCATGGCCTGGTAAGCCAAGGGGATAACCTTGAGATGCGGAAGGGAGGAGCCAACATGGGACATGGCCGGACCAGCCAACAGCAGCGCCCTGAGGGGTACGTGTATAGGGGTGAACCCGCATGGCCTGGCAAGCCAAAGGGATAACCTTGAGATGCGGAAGGGAGGAGCCAACATGGGACATGGCCGGACCAGCCAACAGCAGCGCCCTGAGGGGTACGTGTATAGGGGTGAACCCGCATGGCCTGGTAAGCCAAAGGGATAACCTTGAGATGCGGAAGGGAGGAGCCAACATGGGACATGGCCGGACCAGCCAACAGCAGCGCCCTGAGGGGTACGTGTATAGGGGTGAACCCGCATGGCCTGGCAAGCCAAAGGGATAACCTTGAGATGCGGAAGGGAGGAGCCAACATGGGACATGGCCGGACCAGCCAACAGCAGCGCCCTGAGGGGTACGTGTATAGGGGTGAACCCGCATGGCCTGGTAAGCCAAAGGGATAACCTTGAGATGCGGAAGGGAGGAGCCAACATGGGACATGGCCGGACCAGCCAACAGCAGCGCCCTGAGGGGTACGTGTATAGGGGTGAACCCGCATGGCCTGGCAAGCCAAGGGGATAACCTTGAGATGCGGAAGGGAGGAGCCAACATGGGACATGGCCGGACCAGCCAACAGCAGCGCCCTGAGGGGTACGTGTATAGCGGTGAACCCGCATGGCCTGGTAAGCCAAGGGGATAACCTTGAGATGCGGAAGGGAGGAGCCAACATGGGACATGGCCGGACCAGCCAACAGCAGCGCCCTGAGGGGTACGTGTATAGGGGTGAACCCGCATGGCCTGGTAAGCCAAAGGGATAACCTTGAGATGCGGAAGGGAGGAGCCAACATGGGACATGGCCGGACCAGCCAACAGCAGCGCCCTGAGGGGTACGTGTATAGGGGTGAACGCGCATGGCCTGGCAAGCCAAGGGAATAACCTTGAGATGCGGAAGGGAGGAGCCAACATGGGACATGGCCGGACCAGCCAACAGCGCCCTGAGGGGTATGTGTATAGGGGTGAACCCGCATGGCCTGGTAAGCCAAGGGGATAACCTTGAGATGCGGAAGGGAGGAGCCAACATGGGACATGGCCGGACCAGCCAACAGCAGCGCCCTGAGGGGTACGTGTATAGGGGTGAACCCGCATGGCCTGGCAAGCCAAGGGAATAACCTTGAGATGCGGAAGGGAGGAGCCAACATGGGACATGGCCGGACCAGCCAATAGCAGCGCCCTGAGGGGTACGTGTATAGGGGTGAACCCGCATGGCCTGGCAAGCCAAGGGGATAACCTTGAGATGCGGAAGGGAAGAGCCAACATGGGACATGGCCGGACCAGCCAACAGCAGCGCCCTGAGGGGTACGTGTATAGGGGTGAACCCGCATGGCCTGGCAAGCCAAGGGAATAACCTTGAGATGCGGAAGGGAGGAGCCAACATGGGACATGGCCGGACCAGCCAATAGCAGCGCCCTGAGGGGTACGTGTATAGGGGTGAACCCGCATGGCCTGGCAAGCCAAGGGGATAACCTTGAGATGCGGAAGGGAAGAGCCAACATGGGACATGGCCGGACCAGCCAACAGCGCCCTGAGGGGTACGTGTATAGGGGTGAACCCGCATGGCCTGGCAAGCCAAGGGAATAACCTTGAGATGCGGAAGGGAGGAGCCAACATGGGACATGGCCGGACCAGCCAACAGCAGCGCCCTGAGGGGTACGTGTATAGGGGTGAACGCGCATGGCCTGGCAAGCCAAGGGGATAACCTTGAGATGCGGAAGGGAGGAGCCAACATGGGACATGGCCGGACCAGCCAATAGCGCCCTGAGGGGTATGTGTATAGGGGTGAACCCGCATGGCCTGGCAAGCCAAGGGGATAACCTTGAGATGCGGAAGGGAGGAGCCAACATGGGACATGGCCGGACCAGCCAACAGCGCCCTGAGGGGTATGTGTATAGGGGTGAACCCGCATGGCCTGGTAAGCCAAAGGGATAACCTTGAGATGCGGAAGGGAGGAGCCAACATGGGACATGGCCGGACCAGCCAACAGCGCCCTGAGGGGTACGTGTATAGGGGTGAACCCGCATGGCCTGGCAAGCCAAGGGGATAACCTTGAGATGCGGAAGGGAAGAGCCAA